TCTCTATCCATTCGTTTGTTGATGGGCACTTGGGTTGTTTCCAGCTCTTTGCTACTGTGAACAAAGCCGCAATAAACATGGGTGTGCATGAGAGGGGATATTTTTTGTTTAGTTTTATTTCCTTTTTCCTTTATCCCTCTGGCAACAGACAGCAACACTAACCAGCCACACATACACCTCCTGCACCTTCACCTATCAGATGGGAGCCAAGATCAGCTCCTTCTGCACCTGACTGACTAAAGACTACAACCAACATTGGCCTGCCTGCCTTCAACTGCTCCACACAAACAGCAAACTGAGAACTGTGTGTGCATACACCCACACCCCGCTACACCCACACACCCACCCCTATCCTTTATCAGACCCACCAGAACACAGGAGGTGAAACACTAAGAATAACTCAGTTACCAAGAGGTGCAACACACTTGCATAGCTTAATCAGACATATTAAAACAAAATAATAGAATAAGAACACTAAAAAGTCATAGAGGCAACAGATAACTACAAATCAGGATAAAATGTCACCCCAAAAAAGTAACCAAAATGAAGAAAGAAAAATTTTTTTTTTTTTTTTTTAGGAGTTAAAACTTCTTTCTTTTTTTTTTTAATTTATTTTATTATTTTTGTGTGCGAGTACCGTCAAATCAGATCTGACTGGTACAGGAGGAGATTGCCCCTCCTTCCCCAGCAGAGCATCTGGTGGATTCGAACCGTGAGCCTCTGGGATTGTAATTGCAGCTCCTTGCCACTAGGCCACCAGAGCTCCCCAAAACTTCTTTATTGATGGGCATCTCATCATCAAAAATAAATAACTGCTCATGATCGGGACCAACGAGGACACCTGAGAAACCCGTGATGGTCACGGGGTGGGGGGGCTGAGGAGAGGCAGGCAGGAGTGTCTGGCCACGCTGCCTGGAGCAGGGCGTTGTGACTGGCCCAGCTCAGGCCCAGTTCTGATGAAATGCGTGGACTGCGCTCACAGAGGACTCTGAGCGGCCGGTCCCCGCGGCAGGTGGATGGTGGGCAGGGGCAAAGCGCAGGCCGGCCTCAGTGCCGCAGCTCCTTCATCCGGGTGAGTGCGCTGCCAGCCCGGAACCACTCGATCTGGGTCTCGCTGAAGGTGTGGTTCAAGAGAATGGTCTCCTGGGTCCCGTTGGGGTGCTTGATGATACACTTGAGGGGCTTGCCAGGGGCAAAGTCCTTCAGGCCCTCGATAGTCAGCTTGTCCACGGGGTGGATCTTGTTGTAGTCAGCTGGGTCGGCGAGGGTGAGGGGCAGCAGGCCCTGCTTCTTCAGGTTGGTTTCGTGGATCCTGGCGAAGCTCTTGGTGATGATGGCGCGGCCTCCCAGGTGGCGTGGCTCCAGGGCCGCGTGCTCCCGGTTCGAACCCTCGCCGTAGTTCGCGTCTCTGTTTCTTGTAGTAGCGGGCAGTGTCAGGGACAGGGCCAAATTCCTGGGTGACAGCATAAGAAAAATCTTTTGGAGGAAAAAAAAGCTATTGGAACTTCTGCTCCGACAGGGCAGCTGGTGGATTCAAACCACATGTCTTTGGATTAGCAGCACAGCTTCTTACCACTAGGCCCCAGAGCGGTCCTTAGTTTTACCTGCACTGGGCCTTCTTCCTTTCAGTAAGTCTGACAGTGAACAACTGCCCCCTCTAGGGGTTTAAGAGCAAGTTGTCTTGTAATCCCCACTCCATACTTGATTTACTTGCCCTTGGGTACTAAGCAGGCCTCTCTCTTTCCATATCAATCTGTGGGGAGGAGGAGGGCCTTGTCCTTGGAGACAGTGGCACACCCCGCACACCAAATCCTGTTGCAGATGGAGCCACTTACGTCCACCAACCACTCACTGCCTGGATCCGCTGGTGCGCACAGCGTCAAGGACCTCTAAGCAACTGTATTCCACTGGCTGCAGTGAAGATACATTTATTGGGTTTAAATGGTTGCCCACCTGGAGGTTGCGACTTAAGGTTCTCAAAAAGCTGCCTGTAGCAAATCTAAGTAGCTAGAAAAGAGACCAAGTGTCTTAGCTGCTCTAAAACCACATTCACCGCAGTAGACTAAAAAGGAAGGCGCAATGTCCCAGAGTAAACTTGTCGACTTCTCATTACCCTGCCGCAAGCTGCTAACGCCCTCAAACCAGCAGGTCAGTCGTGGGAGTTCAAATTCTCAGAGAAATAGGTGCTGGTTGTCTCCCCATACAACTCGAGCTGCTTCTCCAAGTGAGGAAGGTCTGAACAGAACAGTGGGAAGATCTGGTGGCGTAGTTTGTAGGAAATGTGCTGCTGACGCAAAGGGAGGGCCTCTCTGGCAGTCTCAATCCAGAAGCTTCACTGGACAAAAGTGGGCAATCTCCTCTGCTGTGATTTACAGCCTCCGAACACCTTCTGGTGGGTCAGCTATGAGCAGGAACCAACTCGAGAATGGAGTGGTCGTGAACAACCGTACCCACCGACAGAAGGCTTCTTCATTAGGAAGACAGGGGTGATTTAAGGGTAATGGGTGGCTTAGTGGTAAGGAGTTGCACTGTCAACCCAAAGGCACATGGTTTGAATCCACCAGCTGCATCGTGGGAGAAAAATGGGCAGTTTCCCCCCATGCCATTTACTGTCTCTGCATACCCACTGGCCAGCTGCGAGTTGATTCTGACTTGATGCTACACCGTAACAACACTTTCAAGCAAACCTCGCTCCACATACTGGCTTATCAGTCCTTTGAGACTTTCCTGTCTTTCAGTTCAGAGGGCGTACTGATTAACCCACAGGGACACAGAGTTAGGTAACAGTTCAATGACAATCTAGGTTACTGATCTGGCTTGTCCTGGCTCGACACTTGCCCACCCCCAGGGCTTGAAAGTATCTTTAACTGGAGAGGCCTCAGGGCTAAGGACCAATCCATAGGAGTGAGGATGAGTCTTCTATATCTGTTGGACTAGGTCTGTCAAAACCAACTCTCCATTTTTACGGAAGAAGAGTTTAGCGTGTAATTTTCTTGTGAAATCACTTTCCAGCAATGGTACTGGGCATTGAGACATAAAACAGTATAAAAACTGATATGAACATTTAGAATCCCTGAGGTGACACTCCCAACAGTTGTAAAAATGCTTGCATTACTTCATTTCCAACAACACCCATTATTACAGGACACAGTCCCCTTGAGACATGTAGTTAAGACAGAACAGCCCCCATTATCCACTCCAAAATCTACAACTTTATCTCCCACTGCTGATCGTCACTTTCTTCTAGAACTGGGCTCTCAAACATTTCCTCTCCCTTTCTACACTTGCTCAGACCGTCAGTCTTCCTGTCTTTTGAGACACACATCCTTCCAATATCCCTCTTTTCTACAAACGGCACATGATTCCTTACACACTGGAGTCCCTGCTTTTTTGGGCCCCGAACTTCTTACTTAGAGTAGCCACCAAAAAGTGGGGCTCTCTTCCTTTTCCTCTTTCTTCCTAGCTAATTATTTGGTACAGTCTTGGCTTGTGTCTATGTTATTTCAACTAGCGGAGTCGTGGCCAACATTCCTCCGTTCTTCACAGCTTTCAGCTCAGAAGCCCTGTGGTCAATGAAGGCCATGTTAACCAGAGGGGCACACTGCTCTGCCTCAGGGTCTGTATCTGTGTCCATATGATGGTTGTTTTTATGTACCATCCAGTCAGAACTGATCCATAGCTGGCACTCCAGTGGGTCTGTAGAGGCAGTCAATTGCCCATTCTTCTCTCATTTAGCAGCTGGTGGATTTGAACTGAGTGTCTTTGGGTTGGCAGTACAACTCCTTACCACTAAGCCACCAGAGCTCCCTTGCACTTTAACGGCAGGCTCCAGGAAGGTTGACGGGTTTCCGTCTGGTTCCTGAATCACATTTTTAACCTTACTGCACCAATTCAGGGAGCGCTGGTGGAGTGGTCCATAGTGAGATGTGCTGCTAACCCAAAAGCCACACCTGTCTGGTGCTGCGAATCCACCAGGGGCTCCAAGGGAGAACAACAGGCAATTGTCTCCAGTGCAATTTAGAGCTTTATTGGTGGGTCAGCTATGAGTCAGCTCCAACAATGACTTTGACTTTAACTTGCACCAATTAATCAGGGTTGGGGCCCATTCTAGGCCTGGTATGAAGATTTCCTTTAAAGGCTGTATGTAGGTCCCAGAGGAAATCAAGAGAGAATGCACCTCACTCTGGGGGGTTTATGCCAAATAAAACACATTTATTGTAATGGCTCTCATCGCCCTTCCCCTTCCTTGATGAAGATGGCTACAGGGGAGGGCCTGGTACTGGGGCCAAACAAGCAGTGGCTCGTGGGGAGGGTATGTGGCATGAGGAGATTCTCTTCATCTTGTTTCTGAGGAAAGTAACAACTTAGAATGCCCACAGTTAGTCATGAAACAGTCCACAAACAATTTTTCATTCTACCTTTCTATCTGGCATAATACAAGTCCAGTTACAAAATGGTATCAAAGTCAAACACAAGACACTATTTATTAATTATCTCATTTACTAATAAGTACTTAGGTCACACTTAAACAAAAGTTTTAGTTTCTTCTTAATAAATGAGTCTCCCCTAAAATAAGGCTAAATTTAGTAGTGGTAAGCTCTCTGTAAGAATCTTGCTTTCCTTAAATATTGAAATATTTCTCCTTAAATATTTATCACTATTGGCTTAATAGGGTGCCCTGGTGACCTAGTGTTAAGAATCTTCACTGCAATCCTAAAGACATGCAGTGGTTCAAATCCACCAGCAATCTCTTCCCCTGAGATTTACTGCCTCTGAAAACCAGCTGGAGGGTCAGCTATAGGTTGGTTCCAACTTGACAGTACACAACAACACTAGCTTAGTAGTAAGGAACTGCGCTGCCAAATCAAAGGAACACAGTTCAAATCACAAGCTAGTCTGAGGGAAAAATACGGGTGGTCTTCTCCTTTGCAATTTTACTGCCTCTGAAAACCAGCTACAGGGTCAGATATAACTCAGTTCCAATTCATACATAACAACAACAATTTGGTTACCAACTGAGGTGCTTAATTATAGGCCAGATACCACAGTTCTTTGTGAAGTACAACTTCTTTAGTAATTGAAGCCAACTTCTTTATGCCTGAATGCCCATGGAGCAAGAGTCAGTTGTTCCTTTTCAAGGGACAGAATGAATGTATCAGCAGAATTAATTAATCATTCTAGAAGAGAACCCCAAGGCAATCAAACCCCTCTATCCAGCACCAAAAACATTAGTAATAATAAAATCAGGCTAATCTTCAAGCATTTAAAGTATCCTATTACAGGACATACATGTAATTACACAACCAACCAACCCCTTTCCTTGCCAGTTATACCCTCCCTGTTGCAGGACTCCACCAAGACCACAACTTCTTTCTCACAGGATACGCCTCACTGCTTCTGATAGCTCCAGATGCTCCTCTGGGCTTTACACAGGCCTCGTGTACCAAGGCCAACCCCAAGAATGTACTTACCAGTTCGTAGTAGCTTTCCCCCCTTGTGGTTTCAGATGCTGGAGAGTTCCCCTTTACCACCAAGGACTGGAGGCTCTGAAGGCCAGAGAGCTCCCCACACCTGAGGAGGGCCGCTCCATCTCTCTGTTCCTCTTTCTGTGTGAAGAATCAGAACCTCAACCTTTCACAAGCTGAGTGCTTCATAGTTTACGTTCTACTACAAAACAAAGATAACAGCTTTCAGCACAAACAGCCTCGACACAAAGAAAACAAAAATCCTTAAAACTAGACCAAATAAGCAACATCATGGTGAACAGAAAAGACTGAAGTTGCCAAGAATTTAATTTTACTTAAACCCGCAATTTAAAGCACATGGGAGCAGCAGTCAAGAAACTAAACTGCATATCACATTGGGCAAATCTGTTGCTAAAGACCTCTGTAAAGTGCTAAAGAGCAATGATGTCACTTGAGGACTAAGGTGCACCTGACCTAACCCATGGTGTTTTCAATTGCCTCATATACATGAATAATAAAAGCCAAATAATGATTTTAAAAGCTGGATAATAAAAGGAAGACCAAAGAAGAACGAATACCTTTAAATTACCAAAGAACACAGAATGGGCTGCTAGAAAAACAAATAATCTTGCAAAAAGTGGAATAAAAATGCTCCTTACAACCTAAATTAAAAAACAAAAAAAAATGCTCCTTAGAGGAAGGGTAGTGAAAATTTGTTTTATAAACGTTGGCTGCGTTATCAGGAAGGGCCAGCCTGGAGAAGACTATCACACTTAGTAGAACATCAGTGAAAAAAAGATAGATTGACACAATGGCTTAACAAAAGGCTCAGGCATAACAAGGATTGTCGAGGACTGCCCAGTGTTTTGTTCTGTTATATATTAGATTGTTGAATCAGAAATGACATAAAAATAATTGGGAAAGGAGCGTACAGAGGAGAGAGCGGTGGGCTGTCTGGTCTGAATGAAGTACAAGGAGTTTTTTCACTCCTGAGCCCATTTGCTCAACCCATGTGACCTAGGGGTGAAAGAGAGAAGAGACTGACTTACCCGAAAGGCAGAGAGCTATAGGGATTCGCAAGCTTATGGCTGGTACTTGGATAAGATAGGTTTACTAGAACCCAACTGAATGAAAAGTGTTTATCTTTATGCAGCGCTGGGTTTGTGGAAGGATGAGGTCCATAGTGTAAGCTAAATACATTTGTATTTTTACATAAGCCCTGACACCATTTTTAGTCCTTTACAAACATTAAACTAATTGCTGCAACTTGATGGCTGGCTTTGGACAGAACTTTGCTTACAGGAACAGAAGATTTTTCAGATCAAGGCACACACTTCTCTCAGAGGTATAGGCACAAGTGATTTAGAAACTGGCTAGCTCAAACAAGAATGAGATAAAGACATGAAGTGACTGGCTTATGCACTTTCATGGTTATATTTACTCTCAAAATGACTGAGAGAAGGGAGGACACTCACTGAATTCTTCTTGATGGATTTGGAAAAGAGAAGGAAGACGATGCCCTTGGATTACATAATTTAGTTGTAGTTAATAAAATTAATAAAAATACAAACAAAACCCAGCAAATCATAACCATTGGTGTCGAGCCATTTTTTACTTAAGATGACTCTCCATCATATTTTTAGGAAAGGAGACGGCCACCTATCATCTGCACAGCAACTGTTAGGTTTAAACACTGACCTTCCAATTAGCCGTACAAAAGAAAACACACAAACACAATCCAGCTAGTGTTAATGTTGTTAAGTGCCATCGAGTCAACCACAACTCACCCTATGAATAACAGTCTGAAACCTTGAAACCTTTCCTCATCCTGTGCCAGTCCCATGATCTCATGACCTCCAGCCTTAAATATGGATTACAGCTCAACATCAAGAAAATAAAAGTCTTCTCTACCGTACATTAAGACAGATAGAGAAAAGACTGATGTCAATTATTTCATTTCCCTTGGATCCACTCCTGATAGCAATAGTGAAGAAATGAAAAGACTCATTGCATGGCATAAATATGCTGTCACATACCTCTTTAAGGTCCTAAAGCGTAAAGATATTAGTTTAATGAATAAGGTGTGTCTAATGTGAGCCAAGGTATTTTAAATTATTTTCTGTGCATCTGAAAGTTAGACAATATTCATGAACAAGGATGACTGAAGAAAAATTGATGCCTTTAATTTCTGATGTTGAAGAAAAATACCAACTATCCCATAAACTGCCGAAAGAACAAAGAAATCTATCTCGGAGGAAATGCAACCCAGGAGCTCCTAAGAGGAAGCATGTGAAACTCGGCCTCACATACTTTGGGCATGTTGTCAGCAGCAGCTAATCCTTGGAAAAAGACATCCAAGATTAATAGTGATTGTAAAAAACTGTAATTGTAAAAGCAGTGACTATGAACCAAAGTGGGGAGGCATTATTGGTCTGCATTGGCCAAACTGAAAGTCATTTAAAGGTTTTACTATGGGAATACTTCATGAAGCTCTGAGCAAGGAACTCCACTCAGTTAAATTTAACCAGACAGAGTGATGCCAAGATGACTTTTAGAGAACAGGACCAGATTGAATGGATCCCTGCGGCAGATCTAAATGGCTGGTACTTGAGTAAATTCATGCTGAGGTCCTGCTCTACTGAAGGATTAATTATTCATGATTGTTTTAAATTGGTAAAATGATTGGGAAAGGTTTTACTCTTCAAATAAGAAAGGACTATTGCTAGTAGAGCTAGGTGGTGGTCTGTGATAGAATGCATTACTTAATATGACACTTCTAGCCATTGACTTTGTGACTCTGCTGTTCAAGATGGCTTTCGTAGGCCATTCTTTTGTAATTTTGCCACACATTAGGGCAGGAGCATGTTAATAGGGTATGCAATCTAAGGGGATTGGTCACTATTGTCATTTCTACCAGGTTTCAATTAAGCAGATTCAACAGCAGAAATTGAGAATCTCACTATAAGCGGAGATGAGGCAGGGTCCAGCGTACATCTTCTGGGGTCAGAGATTCCGGAACCCCTCAGACCAAGACGAGAACAGGAACAACAATGGAGAATCAGAGACCGATGTGAAACAGAGTTGGTCTGGGACTGCGGTCCCACAGAGCCAGAGAGCCAGGGGCCAATCCTTGCTGGAGGACTAGGAGGAGACACTGTGACTGGCAGTGGCAAGAAGCTGCAACTACAGTCCCAGAGGTGCACGGTTCGAATCCACCAGATGCTCTGCCGGGGAAGGAGGGGCAATCTCCTCCTGTACCAGTCAGATCTGATTTGACGGTACATGCACACAAAAATAATAAAATAAAAAAAATTTAAAAAAAAACCACCAGAAAACTAAGATTGAAAGAACTGCAAGCATGTTTGAGAAACCGCCCTGACTGACAAATTGCATCTTGTTTCCAAAGCAATGGTCGTGAGTAGAGTTGTCTAAGTTCTGTGTAGCCACTGCAACACAAATTAGTAGACCCAGGGTTAGAGTGGTGAGAGCTCTATCAGTGTTAGAACTGACAGAAGCCAAGTGGGAGAGTATGGGGACATGTCTCACCTTCGAATGTACCGTGGATGCTCTGGATGAAGACAGCTCCCCCTCGTGGAGTTAGCAAAGGTCAGATGCACCTGTCTGACACCATCAGCACTCTTTTTACAGACTCTCACACAAAGATTGGGTAGGACTTCTTGTGGTATACCATTGAGTCAGAACCAACCCATAGCTGATCCTGGAGATTTTCAGAGGCAGTAAATCTCATGGTAGGAGACTGACCATCTTTCTCCCATGAAGCAGATGGTGGATTTGAACTGTGTGCCTTTAGGCTGGCAGCGCAGCTCCAGTAGGCCACCAGAGATAGAGTATATTTTGAAGCTCTGGTGGCCTAGTGATAAGAAACAGTGCGGCCAACCCAAAGGCACACAATTCTAATCCCCCAGCTGCCCCGTGGGAGAAAGATGGGCAATCTCCTCCCTGGAGATTTACTGCCTCTGTCGCTCTTATCTGTCCGTCTCTTAAGAGCAGGCTGAGTTCACCTGAGGAAAAAAAAAACCCTCATATCCTCGCAGGGATGGGAAAACGCTGCTTCCCTTACTCAACTCACACTAACTCACACGACACTAACGGGCCAACTTCTTGCCCTTACGTCTTTGTTGACTTCATTTAAACAGGCCGCGTTCACTGTCGCCCAATCAGAACCCTCGTTCTTCGGCAGCTGTCCAATGACCTCACGCAGAGGAGAAAAAGAGGCTGGATCGTGAAATCCAATCGCAGCGCCATTGCACTTGAGGGCAAAGAGGTTAGGAAGCCGGCATGGCGCTCTGGTCAATAAAATCAATAGCTGGGAACTGCCAGTGTTCAAGGCAAAGGCAGTGCAGTGGCAGCGCCGCCATTTTCCCCGAATGCATCTTCCGGTGCCTTTCTCCCACGTTCGGGCAGGAGTTTCCTGAATAACAGCGAAAGGTTTCCGTTAGCCCCGCAGGCGACCGGTTCCGATCGCCCCACGGCCTCCCGTCGAAGCTTGCCCACGGCCCCCAGGAGGCTCCTAAATCCTCGGATTCGCCAGCGCCTGGGGGCCGACACTGGGACGAGGGAGGCCGTGGCGCCCGCTTCTCGGGTCCAATGGCTCCGCCTTCGGCTCTGCTCTCCGACCGGAGCAGGGGAAGGAGGCCGAGGGCCGTGCGCTTCGCGGACGTGGCCGTGTACTTCTCCCCCGAGGAGTGGGGGTGTCTGCGGCCCACGCAGCGAGCCCTGTACCGCGACGTGATGCGGGAGACCTACGGCCACCTGGGCGCGCTCGGTGAGGCCCCGGTCCCACCCGCTTCCGAGAGTCGAAAGGCATGAAGGAGCCCGGGGGCGGGGGTGAGCACCGGGATTGGGGGCCCTGGCATCCGATCATATTGGGTCTGGAGAGGGGGCCTAGGGCTCAGGAGGAGGTGCCACTGAGGGTGAGCTTTTCCTTGGCGTGGTCTGCGAAGTCGCCCTCAGACTGGCTCTTCTCCAGGTTGTGCAGGTCCCAAACCAGCCCTCATCGCCTGGTTGGAACGAAACACGGAAGAGTGGGAACTGGCCGCCCTGGATCCGCAGGAGTGCCCGAGAGGGATAGCAGCCCAGAGAAGTGAGTGGAAAAAGGCTCCCGGAGGGCCTGAAGTCATAGGTCCTGGATCAGAATTTTGGTCTGCCAAAGAGTGTCCAATGACCATGCTGTGATGCTCCATTTACTGTGTTGTTTGCACAACCACGGATCAAAGAGTATCAGTGTCAGTTTGCAAACCTTCGAGTTCTGTACTGTGTGGATGAACCGGTCAGCTTATTAAAAGGAGCCACCCGCCTGCCGCCTTCCCAGGTTCCCTCTTCCTCACCCCTTTATATTGGGCTCTGACTGAAGCAACCAGCAATTCTCTGAGGTTTCAGGCTTTTGATGAAAAGGAACTGATAGGGAGCGACTCCCTAAGGTGCAGGGGCCGCCTCCTGCCAGGTTGACCCTGATCAGTGCTTGGACACACTGCATTCTCTCCAGGATAAGGCCAGGCTCTGGTTAATGGAATTTAGGTACAAGGGCTCAGATTAACCCACAGAGCAAATCTATCTAACTGGACTGGAGTGTCTGTGCCAGATTGTCTAAGAGCAGAGGCTACTTTCTAAGACTCAGCTTGCACTATGTTATTTCCTTACATAAAACATTTCTTTCCAAGGCAAACTCTCATATGGCTGTGGCATCTAAATTAGTTGGCAAACTTGATAAAAATACATATTCCTGAACCCCCACTCCAGAGCTACTTTTGTGTTCACTTTTGTGTATGTTTCTCTCCACAAATGGCTCCGTTGATGTGGATGTGTGTTTAAGTTTGAAAACCATTAAATAAAAGAATTCAATGTTCTTAATCTTAACCACAATGGTTCTCAGACCAGCAGCATTTGCATCGCTGGGGAACTTGTTAGCAATACACATTCCTGGCCTCCCAGACTTCAGCCATAAACTCTGCAAATGGACCTCAGCAATCTATGCTTGAACAAGTCGTCCAAATGATTCTGAGCACAGTAGTTTGAGACCCATTGGCTCACAGGGTCTTCCATGACTCAGTCAAAGCCAAGTTCTTACCTCTTCCGTTTCCACTTCTTGTCTTGTACTTTTTGGATGTGCTGGCTGAATAAATTTCCTCCAGAATTTAATGGGTTAAAAAAAGTCATACATTGTCTTTTATGTAAGAAAGGTGAAGGGAGAGAACCATGTATTTGCATTTCCACGAAACATTGGAAGAACTTCATCTGATTTCAGTAGCGTTGATGGAAGCATCATGCTTTCCTCTTCAAATAATTTTGTTTTGAACCATGTAAACAGACTTTTTTTGTTGATTTAGTTAATCTCTTCCATGAAACCTTCTCCAACTTCCCCAGGTTGCCCTGGGGGCTTTTGTAATACCCTCCATATTTTTGTAGTTGTGTGACACACCTGGAGAGCTCGGATGGCATAGTCTGTAGGGAGTTGTACCGCTGGATGCAGAGATCAAGCCTCTCTGGCTGTTTGAATCTACTCCTCAGGTGGAAACAGTCAATTTCACCATGCGATTTACAGCTTCAGAAAGCCAATGAGCAGTAATGACAGATGTCACACTTAGCTGTGTTGATAACTCTTAAGTCTGTTTCAGCATTTAGGTATGTCAACACTGTAATGGAAAAGTGTAGGAACAACCTAGTGTTAAATTTATTTCTTTCTGTGTCCCTGCAGAAACCAGAGCCAGAAAGAAGAATGAGGAAAAAGACGGACTCCCACCTAAGGAGGCGCCCCGGAAGGGGAAGCGAGGGCGCAAGCCCAGCAAACCTCGACTGATCCCCAGGCAGACATCCGGGGGCCCCATCTGCACTGACTGCGGCTGCACCTTTCCTGACCACGTGGCCCTGGAGAGCCACAAGTGTGCCCAGAATCTGAAAAAGCCTTACCCTTGCCCGGACTGTGGTCGCCGGTTTTCCTACCCGTCCCTGCTGGTCAGCCACCGGCGGGCTCACTCTGGCGAGTGCCCCTACGTCTGTGACCAGTGTGGCAAACGTTTCTCCCAGCGCAAGAACCTCTCCCAGCACCAGGTCATCCACACGGGGGAGAAGCCCTACCACTGCCCTGACTGTGGCCGCTGTTTCCGTCGGAGCCGCTCCCTGGCCAACCACCGGACTACGCACACGGGCGAGAAACCCCACCAGTGCTCGAGCTGCGGGCGACGCTTCGCTTACCCGTCGCTGCTGGCCATCCACCAGCGCACGCACACGGGCGAGAAGCCCTACACCTGCCTGGAATGCAATCGCCGCTTCCGCCAGCGCACCGCGCTCGTCATCCACCAGCGCATCCACACGGGCGAGAAGCCCTACCCGTGTCCCGAGTGCGAGCGGCGCTTCTCCTCGTCCTCGCGCCTGGTCAGCCACCGGCGGGTGCACTCGGGCGAGCGGCCCTATGCCTGCGAGCACTGCGAGGCCCGCTTCTCCCAGCGCAGCACGCTGCTCCAGCACCAGCTCCTGCACACGGGCGAGAAGCCCTACCCCTGCCCGGACTGTGGACGTGCCTTCCGGCGGAGCGGCTCCCTGGCCATTCACCGCAGCACACACACGGAGGAGAAGCTGTATGCGTGTGACGACTGTGGCCGCCGCTTCGCCTACCCTTCGCTGCTGGCCAGTCACCAGCGCGTACACTCGGGCGAGCGGCCCTATGCCTGTGACCTGTGCTCCAAGCGCTTCGCCCAGTGGAGCCACCTGGCTCAGCACCAGCTCCTGCACACCGGAGAGAAGCCCTTCCCTTGCCTTGAGTGTGGCCGATGCTTCCGTCAGAGGTGGTCGCTGGCGGTGCACAAATGCAGCCCCAAGGCCCAAAACTGTAGCCCTCGATCTGCTGTAGCAGGGTCTAGCCACAAAGGCAAAGCCCTTTAAAGTGGGAAGGACTGTATGAAGATTCCAACCCCTTCATCTCATGGAGGGGCTCAGAGAAGGGAAAGAAGGATCTCCAGTCATACAAGACAGAGTTAGAGTTAAACCCCAGGTCTCCTGATACACATCAGCTCTTTCATATGCTCTACCTGTGTGTGTCTAGAACAGACAGTCCCAGAGGGAGAGGTGACATCATTCGCTTAAAGTTTTCTAAACGACTCCATTTATGTACAGATACTAGGGCTAAACTGTTCTCTCCGTCTGTTTTAGGGGCACCAACCTTTGTGCTTTGTCCATACAATCAGAAGAGTCCCACCTTGTATGGGGCAGGACCCTCACCTGCTCTGTCTCTTCCTCCATAATAGTCTTGAAGGATCTGATTTCATTCTCTTCTTTCTAGTATACTTCTGCCAACTGAGCGTCTAACCCTTGCTTGAAAACCTCTTGACAGGGAGCTCACTACCTCACAAGGCAGGTCATTTCGTTGTGGGATCACAGCGCTGATCTTTAGGAGTTTGCTGAGAATGGAATTTTTCCCTATAAGCCTTGGCCATTATGTGCTTGGTGCACAGCAGCCCTTCAGGTAACGGTTTGTTCCAAATTCTATGCCTTTGCTAATTTGGCCAACCATTCCTTAAAGACAGTTTCCAGTCCCATGTGATCTCCAAACACTGGTTTTTCAGTGTTCCTTTTAAAATGCCAGACAGGAATAAGCCAGCATCACATTGTCCCCTGTCCCTCTCCTTAGTGTGCTCTTGTGTTCACAGCCTAGATGGCACTGGATTTGAGGCAGCTGTATTGTGCAATGAGTTTATGGGATGCCGACATCAAAATGCTCTAAACTTTTTTTAAAATTATTAACCACATGCCATGAAGCTTAAGTCTTTTGTACTCTGTGCTTGGAAAGTTGGTTCACATCACGTGTAGGATATAAGCACATTAAGCTGTGGGAGAACACTGATTCCAGGGAAAAGCTTTGGTCTAGCAGCAGGAAGTAAGAATGGGTTTGTTGAACTTCATCTTATGACACTGGATTAGTTCCAGGCAGTCAGTGGCTGGGAAATCGAGAACTGAATCTTAATCATCCCTTTTCATCAGAATAAGGAGAATCCGCCTCAGTAAACATTTTTTATAAAATGAGGTAAGGCCAATGCAGGAGTGTAGGAAAGGAGATCATTTAAGTCTACAGAGTAGGAAGTGTTGTCATCTCGCCTCCCGCTCAAGCTCTTGAGGGGCGGCAGTGTGTCTTGCTCATTGCTTTGCCTCTGAGCAGCTGCTCAGTAAGGCTTTACTGGTTTAAATGCGAACGGGGCCCACCATTTTTGCCTTGGGCAGCTGCACCAAACTGTGTCCAAATGACTTAGCCTCCAACAGCTGGGTGGGTCAGCCACCTCCACCTGCTGCTGCTTGCTTCAGCTCTAGACCTCAACCCCAGGGTAAGGAAGCAGCTAGCGAGCATTTGTTGTAGTTCCATCGAGCTGAATACAACTGAACAATGAATCTGAACCCTGCCCTATTCTATGCCATCCTCATATCTCTGATATACTCAAACCCCCTGTTACAGTCACTGTCTCAATCTGTCTTGATGAGGATCTTCCTCTGTTTCGCTAATCTTCCATGTTTCCAAGCATAATGTTCTTTTCCAAGGACTGGTTCCTCCTAACAAAATGCCCAAAGTACATGAGACAAAAGTTTCACCATCCTTACCTCTTAGGAGCACCCTGGTCACACCTCTCTAAGACATATTTGTTTGTTCTTTTGGTGTCTATTCAGTACTGTTCTTCAACACCACAACTCAAAGGCATTGATTCTTCTGTCATCCTATTCATTGTTCAACTTTCTGATGCATAGGAAGTAACTGAAAAGAGTATGGCTTGAATCAGGAGCACCTTAATCTTTAAATTGGCATTATTGCTCCTTAACACCTTGGAGAAGTCCTTGGCAGTAGATTTTTCCCAATGCAACAAGTCTTTTGCTCTCTTAAGTGCTGGTACCAAGAATGTTGATCCAAGCAAGATGAAATCATTGACAACTTCAGTCTTTTCTCCATCTGTCATGATGTTGCATTTTGTAATTACCTCTGTTCTGGTATTTAGCTTGTTGCATTGTAACCTTCTCCTTGGTTTATGAGCAGGGCAGGGGCCATCCCAGTTTGGGTCTCATTAAAGTGTCTGACAAATGAATTCTTATGGAGCCAGTGGTGAGTCTGAAATACCAACAACCTGGGTTAGCTGCCAAAAGAAAAGTCTCCTCCCGTGTGGTTTACAGCTTCTGAAACCCAATGAAAGGTCAGCTATGAGTCAGTCTCAATGGCAATAAGTGAGTGGGTGACCAAAATACTAATACTAGCTCCCTTTATTGAACATTTACGATATGCCAGGTAATGTTCATCTTCTCTGTATCATTCCTGTTTTAGTGCATGTGCTCCCGAAGTAAGCACTATGCCAGGTAATGTATTAAGCACTTTATAAACATTACAATCTAATTTTTGTAGAAAATATAACACAAAATGTACTCTTCCTAAGCTAGCTTCTCAAGAGATGCAAAACCTGTGAAGATGTATGTGTTTGTGTGTATACACACACACACACGCACACACACACACACAGACTGATGTCTTCCAAGAAAACACCTTACACGGTTGTAGAGGCTAACAAGTCCCAAGCTTTGTGGGTCACATGTTAGGCTGGAGGCTTCATAAACTGCAGGGACTGATGAACTAAAAACTGGCAGATAAGACAACAGGCTGGTGGCTCACAGGCTGAAAAAGCTTATAGATCCCAAGACTGGCAGGCAGTATGGCAGGCTGCTGGTTTAAGTCCAAGGAACTGAGCTTAAATGATGATGAACCCGATGCACGGTCCAAATAGTAAGAAGTCACAGAACTTTGCCAGAATGTCCATATATATTGGCATTATCCCCCAAGGAAATAACCTTTTAACTGATTGGCTTCTCACGGCACATCCCTCTATAAGAGATGACTATATCATCAGATAACTGCCAAAATACATTCTATAACAAGAATCCTGACCAGCCAAGCTGACATGCCATCTTAATTATCACAGTACACTCCTTGTAAACTGTACACATCTCCTTAAATGATGAATCCTATTTGTGCCTCACATGATAAAACTAACACTTGTACAAACACATTAACCCTGTTTACATCTTTCATTTTATACGTGAACGTGCTATCTGATGCACACATACAAGGAAGAAAGACTCATAACAGTTAAAGTCTTCATTTCTGCAGTAGGTCATATAATCAGAGATGCTATTCAGAACTACCTTCTGACCGCTCTGTAGTACTTTGCCTTCACCTACTAGGTCTGGTGGTGTAGACAGCAGGAAACTGCTGCTAACCCCAAGGTGGTGTCTCCCTGGTGGTTGAATCTTACCAGCAGCTCCTTAGGAGAAGGAGGAACAATCTCCTCCTGTGTAATTTATACGCTCCAAAAATCTGCCGGAGGGCCAGCTTTTAGCCCATTCTGATATAAGAGGAAGGAGAGAGACCATCTCTGCTCCTTTTGGTTATCTGTCTGGTGGGGGTGTTGTCCATTCCATGATATAAATGGTCCAGTGTAACTGACTGGCCACCAAATTGCTGGCTAGTTGCCCAGAAGAATGGTTCCATATCGGGAAACAAGTGTTGATCTCTGCTGTTGGCAGATGGGTTCTTAGCAGTGGCAAAACCAAATCAGCCTTGGTGAAAAGTGCCGGCTGCTGAGCCCCTGCATAACTTCTGTCCCTGTCATCATCACCACTTTGTTAATGTCACTGAGCAGGGACAAGAGTGGTTGGGAAAGAAAAGTGTTTCCCACAAAACTTAACACATTTTCCTTGCCAAAATCCACTGTGAAGGTCACGTGAAGGCCTAGTCAGGGTGGATTAAAGGTCAATTCAATGTCATTTGGAAGTAAACTGAAGACCAAAAACCTGAGAATCATTTGAAGGTCAAGATAAGGCATGTCCAATAACAGGTCATTTGAAGGTTGATTAAGGTCATATAAAGGGCAAGTTGAGTTAGACAGTTGAGGGTCAAGCCAAGGACTTAGAGGACAACTGTCATTTGAAGGTCAATTGAAGGCCATTTGAAGGTTTGAAAATTGAAGGCTATTCACAGAATCAAGGCTAATTGATGGTCAAGTCAATGTCATCTGAAGGTTAAACAGAGGTTATTTGACAGCCCAAAGTTAGTTGGAAGTCAAGATCAATTGAATGACAGGTCAAAGTACCTTGAAGATAATTTAATAAGATAGCCAAGGTCAAAGTAAAAAGTCAAGGTTACATGAAGGTTGGACCAAGGTCAAGTGAGTCAGAGGATCACTTGAAGGTCAAGTCAAAGTCATTTCACACTCAACTGAAGGACATTTGTCAGTCTGGGTTATTTGAAAGGTCATTGGAAGGTTGAGTCAAGGTCAGGAAAATCCATCAAGCCAGAACATTACCAACATCCTAGAAAGCTGCCGCCTGTCCATTACTGTTAATTTCCATTCCTAATCCATCATCCTCCATCACTGCTGAAGTTTTAGCGGAAAGCAGAGAATATAAGAACGTCCATTTGTGTTTTAGTAACTATGCAAAGCATTTGACTGTGTGTGGATCATAATAAATTATGACTAACATTGAGAAGAATGGAAATCCCAGATTTTCATTGTGCTCATGAGAAACCTATTCCTAGACCAAGAAGCTGTTGTTGGAACAGAGCAAGGAAATATAGAATGGTTTAGAATTAGGAAAGGATGCACCAGGGCTGTATCCTTTCTCTGTATTTATTCAGTCTCTATGACGAACAAATAATAATTCAAGAAACTGGATTCTGTGAAGAAGAACATGGCATCAGGATCTGAGGAAAGACTCATCAACAACTTAGTTATATAGATGACACAACCTTGCTTGCTGAAAGTGAGGACTTGAAAAGTTTGCTGCAAAAGATCAAAGACTATAGCCCTCAATATAAGTTACATCTTAACATCAAGAAAACAAAAATCTTCACCAACAGGCAAATAGATGGAGAAGAGATAAAAATTGTCATTGACTTGATATTGCTTGGATTCACAGTCAACACCCTTAGCAACAGCAGCCAGGAAATCAAAAGACACATTGCATTGGGAAGGGAGCTCTTGTGGCCTGCTGGTAAGAATCTGCACTGCAATCCCAAAGGAATACAATTCCTTTTCCTACCTTTTTTTTTTTAAATTAGGAGATTGCCCCTCCAGTGAAGGATCTGGTGGTTTTGAACCGTACACCTTTGGGATTGCAGAACAGTTTCTTGCCACTAGGCCACCAGAGCTCCCTAGGGATGCAGTTCTAATCCACTAGCTGTTCTGCAGGAGATTGAGAGGTTGGCCAGCAGATCTTAAGTGCAGGAAATCGTGCAGAAAGATGGCTGAGGATATGGCTGCTCCCTTGACTTGACTTCAGGTGATCAGGATGATTTGACTTGGCTCTGAATAGCCAGGTGTGATGAATGAATTACTTAATGTGGCTCTTCTAGACATGGCCTTTGTATCTTATACCAGATGCTTAAGTAGAACCAAATGTGAAGTGTTTGTGGCCCTCCAAAAGGACTGAATAATTTGCTAATAATGAAACCTTATGGGGTGGGACTGTGTAAATAAGGGATAAAACACTAACATGGGGCTGTCAGTTTTGCTATCCCACCAGGCTTAAAATGAGACATCCAGAGCAAAAAAAGAAGGGGATCACTCACTGTAATCAAAGCAGAGCTAAGGGAGCTCTGGTGGTCTAGTGGCAAGAAGCTGCACTGCAAGAGGCACAAGGTTCGAATCCAACAGATACTTTGCTGGAGAAGGGGGGACAATCTCCTCTCAGTCAGATCCGATTTGATGGTACGCACACACAAAAAAACGTAAAAAACAAAACAAAACGAAAAAGAAAGCAGAACAAAGAGTAGAGCCCATGTCATTTGGACTCAACCTCCTCTTTGATCCAGAAGACAGGGAGTTGTCTGAGGGAAGGACCTGAAAGGAGAAAAAAGCCTGGCTGTTTGGATGGCAAGCAAGCAGTTTGTCTTTAAGTGAACTGAGGCAGGAAAAGTCAGTGTACATGGAAAAACCCTTTCCAGTGACACCCTGGCATGCTTGATCGTGGTCACCACCTGGGTCCACTTGTTGAGTCAAAGTGGAGGTGCGGCAGTGAAGAATGGAATGGGTATGGATGTGTTCCACTGGTGCCCATGGACTTAGCCTCCCAGGATGAGAGATGAGAGTGAGTTTGCTGGTTTAAAGTACAGGGAATTGTTTGGACTCCAGGTCTAAGGCTGTTGACCTCACCCATGTGAGCTAGCTGGTGAGAGAAAAGGGGCTGGCTGATTTGAAGTGCTGGGAGATGTTGGACCCGTAAGACCTGCCACTGGAATCCACTGACCTAGGGTGGATGGCTAGGGATGAGCTGACCAGAATCCAATCTAATGATAAGGAAACAAGTCTGACCTATGAGTTGGTGTAGATTGTTATAATTTGATGGCTTGTGCTGATTTGTATCTGATTTGGCTCTCTAAAACAAGGAGATAAACGCATGAAGTGACTGGTTTATACACTTTTATGGGTGTGCTTACTGACATCACTGGGAGGGATAAACTAATCCCTCAAGTATAAAAGGACCAGTGGCTAGAATAGCAGCAGGAGGGTTGCCTAAGTGGAGTGAATGACTTAATTTGGCTCTTCTAGCCACGGTCTCCCACCAGAAGACCAGGGTGTTGTGTTGTTAGGTGCTATTGAAACTAGTATGGCTCTAGTGACACTATGCACAACAGATCTATATCTGTCCTATCTTGTGCCATTCTCATTAATCTGATATACTCAAGCCCATTGTAGCAAGCCATTGTGTCAATCCATATGGTTGAGGGTCTTCTCTTTTGATGACCCTCCACCTTTCCAAGCATGATGTCCCTCTCCAAGGGAACAGCCTCTCCAAAAACATACCCAAAGAATGTGAGATGAAGCTTTGTCTTCACAGATGAAGCTATGAGTAGGACTATATAATGAGTTTCCTGTGATACACCAGGGAGATTGAAAAACTTGTTAAAAATGTAAATAAGGTACCATGGTACTCTTGTGGGTAGTTGTTGCTATTATGCACTGTAAAATTAGAACCAACAACTCACACCTGACCCTCTAGAAGGTTTTCAGAGGCAATTAATTGCACAGGAGGAGACTGTTCATCTTCCAAGAGGAGCTGGTGGATTAGAACTGCAAGCCTTTGGGATAGCAGTGCAACTCTCACTGTCACTGTTGTTAGGTATGGAGAAAGGATACAGGACTATGCAAATAAGGTATGTGGAAGACTAACATGGAGATTGGTCAGTTTTGCTATCCTGCTAGGCTTAAAATGAGTCATTCCAGATGTGGACAAGGGGGATTTCTCAGTCATGAAAAAATAGCAGCTGTGAGAGCAGTGCATCCTCTGGATCCAGGATTCCTGAGTAAGCACCCCCTCAGTCCAGCTGCAGCTTCAGAGAGATGGTGACACATGCTAAGAAGCAGTAGCAGCAGCAGCAGTGAAACAAATGAGGTGTGCCAGGTGGGTTCCAACTGTCAGAGAGGCTCAGCTTGTGGGTAAGCAGCACAACTTTCTACATATTACTCTACTAGAGTTACCTCTCTATGTGACTGTGTGCCACTGAGTCAGAACAGACCCATAGATGACTCTCCAGTAGGTTTTCAAAGGCTGTAAGTTGCCCAGGAGAAGATCACCCATCCTTCCTCCATGGAGCAGCTGGTGTATTCAAACTGTGCCCCTCTGGAATTACAGTGCAGCTTCTTACCACTAGGCCACCAGAGCTCTATGCATGTATGTATGCATTTTTAGAAAACTTGTGGTATATCTAGAGATTGGAATATTACTGAGCCATAAAGAAAAATGAGAACCTGATGCATGTTACAACATGGGAAAACCTTGAAAACATGCTAAGAGAAAAAGGATATATTGTATAATCTCACTTACAGAAAATATCTAGAATACACAAGTATATAGAAACACCAAAGTTTATTCGTGGTTACTCGTGATGGGCAGGAGGAAAGGAGGACTCAACGAATGAGGGAAATGAGCTTCTAAGAGAGACAGTTAATATGGGAATAAAGGTAACGGCTGAACAACAAGATGAACATGTCACGGTGTGTAAGTGAAGATTGGTGATATGTCAAATGCTTCGTTACATATATATATGTACCGAGATTTCCTAAAAGTCCTGTATCTTGCTACAGAATTGTGTATTTTGTCAAAACTCGGTGAATTTTCATCGAAGATCTGTGTATTTCACTGTACTCAAGATGTAAATAGAAGCAGTTGCCTCTGGTACGCATACCCGCGTGGGGTGGGGGTGGGGAGGAAGCAGTTACCTCTAAAGAATAAAGAGCTTATGTAGGGGTGACCTTTTTTAAAAAAAAATTATAAAATTTATGCATTTTAAAAAACTATATATAAATATATGAATTAATTTGACAATTATTTAAATGTAACTTAAAAGATACTTCCACCAATTTCATCCTTACCAAGCCCGTTCTTTTGCCCTAGCTCTGGTCCAGGCTGACCAAACAGAGCGGCGTCTGCAGATTCCCATCTATTTTGCAACTGTCATTGACCTTAACCATGTATATGGTTTCTACCTTCGTCACCCAATGTCTGTTCAGGATGTGTACCTCTTCCCGCAGGAGCTGGGGCCCAGATTTCAGAGGCTGGCAGGAGGATGTAGGAGACAGTCCTAGATACACCAAGAGGCCGAGATTCCGTTACTTTTTTACAATTACAGGAGCAGCAGGCCTTTCAAATGCCGTAACCAATCACAGCACCGCTTCTTCACGTCCTTGTGGCCAATCAGCGGCCTCTGTATGGAAAAGACAAAGAGAGGTACTTGAAGCCGGGGAGCTGCCCGTTCTAAAGGAGCGCGTGTTTCCCGCAGTTCCCAGCCCCTGCCACTCAAGATAAACCCTAAAGTGGCCATTACATTGAAGGGCAAGTGGGATGACGAAGTCTGGGACGCTAAAAGGGAGCCATATTTTATGTAATCCAGGAATCACGTCATTGCCCAGCCGTTAGTGACAAATGAAGCCAATCTGTCGCCATATTTTCTGAAGGCACCTTCCGGGGCTCCTGTCCCGGGTCCTGACGGCCACGAAGTCAATAAACACCAAGATGTTTTACTAGTCTTCCACCAGACTCCCCGAGTTCCCAGTAACCAGTCCTTGCTATTTTCAGCCCCCCCCCCCCCAGCTGCATTCGGAGGCAGGGCTGGGCGGAGCCCGCCCTGGGCGGCCTTGGCCGCAGACCACCAAAGCTGAAATCTGGGAGCCGGGAGGTGGTGGTCCGGGGACCCCTGCTCGGAGCTGGGAAGCCCATGGCACCGCCTCCAGCCCCGCTCCTGGCGCGGAGACCGGGGGAGACCAGGCGTGGTTGCAAGAAGCCAGGGGCCGTGTGCTTCGCGGACGTGGCCGTGTACTTCTCCCCCGAGGAGTGGGCGTGTCTGCGGCCCGCGCAGAGGGCCCTGTACCGGGACGTGATGCGGGAGACCTACGGCCACCTGGGCACGCTCGGTGAGGCCCCTAGTCAGAGGCCCCCTTCTCCTCCATCGGGATTCACATGGGGGAGGATTATCCAGAAAGATCGAGAAGATCATGAGCCCTGATCCCTCACTGATCCGCCAGCAACAGCAGCCACCACCTAGTCCCAGGGCTTCAGGTATCCCCTATGGGGCCTTCCCAACCCGGATCCACTTCTCTCAGGCAGGCATTGCAGACCCTTTTCGGGTTGAGCATTGACAAGTCGTGCCCTCATCCTGGCAGGGGGATGATGCCATCTCCCCAGGCCAGCATCTCAGGCCAGCACTGTGATCCCTGTTCTCTCCCAGGATTCCCGGGCCCCAAACCAGCCCTCATCTCTTGGATGGAACAGGGGAGTGAGGCTTGGAGCCCCGCCGCCCAGGATCCTGAGGAGAGGGAAAACCTGGGAGGAGCTCCAAGAGGTGAGGGATTGTCCCAGGCTCCCCTCCTTATATTGGCAAAGTTGTGGGTTTGGTTTTTTTCCCTTTCTATATCCCCACTTCTAGCATCTGCAGTTAGGGACCTTTCCATATTACTTGAGGAGTAGTGACATTAGTTTTTGAATTAAGGTACATCTGATACAGGCCATAGTCTTTCCGATTACTAGCTAGGCATCTGAGAGCTGGACAGTGATTAAAGATGACAGAAAACGAATTGATGCCTTTGAGCTTTGGTGTTGGAAAAGAGCACTGAACATCCCATGGATGGCCAAAAGAACAGACCGAGGTCTTGGAGAGGGTGCAGCTGGAGTGCTGTTTGGAGGCAGGAATGATAAGGCTTTGCCTATGTTCTTTGGACATGTTGCTAGGAGGTGCTACTCCTTGGAGAGGGACATGATGCAGGGAAGGGTGGAGGGTCGGCAAAGGAAAGGAAGACCCTCAACCTGGTGGACTAACATTGTGACTGCTGCAATGGGCTCATGTGTCAGGAAGTGTGAGGATGGCGCAGGACATGACTGGATTCTGATCTTTTGTTAATAGGGTAGCTATGAGTCATACTCTATTCGATGGCACCTAACAACAATAATAACATCCCCACTTCAAGCATCCCTGAAGAGCCAATCTAGGTTGCATACTAGAAAAGGAAATAAGGCAGATTTATTTGGAAACTTTGAGAACGTGGGACAGCAGTCATGTTGAGATGTGTTTGTTGGCTTTACGAGAAACAACCAGATGCCCAAATCAAAGACAGCTGAGTTTCCAGGAACCTCTCCCAGGAGGAAGCCCACCCAATCTCCTCCTTCAAGGAACTTAAAGCCCCAGACAAAGAAAATGACTGCAGGCCTGCCTTTCGTATTACTCGAGTAAAGCAAAGTGATTCAGGAGAAAATGCCCAGTAATGGAAAATCTTTATTCTCCTTTCCTCACAGCCTCCCTAACCCCTCACGCTGAGCAATCTCAAGCCGATATGCATGAAACAAAAACCCCCCAAACTCAGTGCCTTCAAGTCAGTCCTCTGTAGGAAACCAAGAAACCACAATGGTAGCTACTGCTTGCTGAGCAGTTACTAAGCATTTAACATGCCTCTGTTTATTTATTTCATCTTCTCAGCAAACCTGCAAGGTAAACAAACCACTGTTATTCCCACTTGACACATAAATATTTTTTTAAACTTTTTTTTTTAAAATGTTATTATTTTTTTGTGTGTACCGTCAAATCAGATCTGACTGGTACAGGAGGAGATTGTCCCTCCTTCCTCAGCAGAGCATCTGGTGGATTTGAACCATGCGCCTCTGGGATTTCAGTGCATCTTCTTGCCACTAGGCCACCAGAGCTCCCCTATAGATAAATCTTAAAATGCTAGGCTTTCTACCAAGGCTTGTTGTTAATCTCTGGCCGGTACTTTTCTGGCATTACTGTAAATAACAGCAAATTATAACCAGAGATGATCTATGCACATGTGTTTTAAAATGTGACTTAATTCCTGTTTCCCAGGAGATATCACAAAGGAGAAGGAGGAAAGGCCAGGAGCTGAGGGGTCCCGACAAACTCCTGAGAACCAGCTAAGGGAAGAGCACAACACTGCCTCTGCTCCCAACAAGACCGTGGTGCCAGCCCGGCCACCTCTGAAAGCTGCTTGGGACCAGACCACCAGTGCACAGACCTCGGGCCCTGCGCCCAGCACGGACGCTCAGGCCAGCCAGCGGCGCCACGTGTGCGTAGACTGTGGCCGTCGCTTCACCTACCCCTCACTGCTGGTCAGCCACCGGCGCATGCACTCGGGGGAGCGGCCGTTCCCCTGCCCGGAGTGCGGCATGCGCTTCAAGAGGAAGTTCGCCGTGGAAGCACACCAGTGGATCCACCGCTCCTGCTCCGGGGGCCGGCGGGGCAGGAGGCCTGGCATCCGGGCTGTGCCTCAGGCCCCGGTCAGAGGTGACCGGGACCCACCGGTGCTGTTCCGGCACTACCCAGACATCTTTGAGGAGTGCGGGTGATTGGCCCCTTAAGGCCGGAGCTGAGCCACAGGAGTGACTCTGTCACTAAGAACTGACTTAGGAACTTAGGACAATGAAATTCATCCCTTGGGTGTGCTGCAAGGATCCCGGAAGTTTCCAGACTTGTAAAAGGAAAAGTGCCTGTAAAGATTCAGATAGATTAAACTTGCCACTCCCTCCCATAAAACAAATGAAGAGGGTGAGACCCTTAACTTTTTCATACCTTATCTCAGCAGCAGGTGCACCGAGGATCTTTCCATTTTCTCAGGAAAGTGCCCCTAACATCACAGGCAATGCTGGGAGGTGGGAGTTGAAGGAGGACTAAGACCTGGGGATGAGGATGCTCTAATTGTCACCAGCAGGGAGCTTAGGAAGTGGGGTGGGTGAGGAGGGTACTGATTCACAGAGCACAAATCTAGTCTCTGCAAATTGACCCCAATCACATCTCCTTCCTGAGCCTCAGTGTCCTTTGCTGTCAAATGAAGATTAGCAATAACTACCTCAAAGGGTTTCTGTGAAGACTGAACTTTAAACAAGACATATGGGACACGGTAAACGTGCAATAAATATTTGTTGAAAGAGTGAGTGAGTGTCGACATTTTACAGTTCAGAAAGTGTAAAGAAGCCTGCTAGAGAGGCTGGACCTGGACATCAGTTGTCAAGTTTTTGCATCTGAGGAGGCTCAGGGAAATGAAAGAATATCCCAGAGTTGTGCTGCTATAAGGCACTGAAGCTGGAAAATGACACAGAGCCCAGTTTGTTCTATCACTTTGACAGTGCCTTTGAGAAGTTAGTTCTGAGCAGAGAACAGGGGTCAGGTCAAAGGGGAGGTAAGAACTGATGGCTGGGCAGGGAGCAAGCCAGCTCAAATAAGAGCAACTGCAAGCAAAGACCTGTGGTTGTCAGTTCCTAGCCAGGGAGTGGCCCTTGCTTTGGGGCTTAGGGTCACTCCTCAGGTGTAGGATCCAGCCCAAATGAACTGAGAATCTCACAAAGGCTAATGCCTTTCTTCACGTGGAAAACCCACTGAGTATTCATACTCAGTGGACTTCTGTAAAAGAATCTATGTGAGGTGAGGAAATGATTCTGTGAGAAGAGTCTGGCCTTAACCCCATCTCTGCCTTCAGTAAGAGCCATCTGAAAACTCTTGAGTTTTGCTGGATTTAGAGGACACTGTGGACTTGGGTCACACGATCCATGTGGGAAGAGGGTGATCAGGGCTATGGTGGAAGTCTGAAAGCAGTCTTAAACCAGCCTGGATGGTATTATACCAGGAAATACTGCTTGGTAAAGGAAATGGCTTGTGTTTCCCATGTCATAAGGAGGGACTAGGAGCCAGGGTGGGAGTGTTTAAGGCCCAAGGAAGGAACAGACCTGGTGTAGAATAGAGTTTGGGAACACAGGCTGTAGAATCAGACTATCTGGGGTCATGCTGGCTCCTTTGTTTTTTATCTGTGTGATTCTGAGCAGGTCACTTCTTTGCATCTCACTTTCCTCATCTATAAAACCTGGTTTATAATAGTGCCAACCTGATAAGATTGATGTGAGGATTAAGTGAGATAATGTAGAATAGCACCTTGCATATTAGTGTTCAATATATTTTTTCTGTTATTGTTTTAAAATGATAAACAATATGTAAGGAGGGCCATGGTATGACCTGGACAGGTCTGAATCAAGGAAGAGTTCCTGGAGGAAGTGGTTCAAACTGACCTAGAAGAATGAGAAGTTCAGTAGACCTGGACTGTTGCAAACTGGACGCAGAAAGGAAGCGGGGACACAAGGAAAGGAATTCTGTCTGAAATAGAGGCTGAGGCAGAGGTCCTCTTACAGCTTAGCACTGTGAAAAGGCCCCTTTCTTAGTCTCCCTGTGGTTTTTATTAAGCAAATCCTCCTAAAAAATTCAATCTCCAGAGACTATATTTTCCTTATACTTAAGTGTTGCCAACTTAACAATGGGTAAGCTTAATCCTTATGACCAAAGTTCAGACACGGCCTCCCCTCCAGTGGGAGGCTGGGCGGAATTCTCTGTTTGCAGAGGACATCCAGTATCTCCTCCAGGAGGCTGAGCAGAATTCTCTGTTTGTGGGTTCTCAGTCCTGTCTGGACTCTGATCTCAGCTGAGGCCCAGCTAACACTATGCCGGGGAATCCATACTGGATAAGCATGCACAGTAAGGGACAGTTCCATCTGACAGTAACACAAAGAACAGGGTTAGAAGTAACGGGACGGAGCAGCAGAGAGGTGGCGGCCAGATCTGAGAGAGCCACAAATTCCAGCTGAAGATGAAGTTTACTGTGTAGACAGAAAAGCCAAGAACATTCTTGAGCAGGGGAAGGACTGTCTGACAGGTGCTGTCAGATGACCATGCAAAGCAGTATGGGAGTTTGACCAGTGAGAGGAGACTGGACACTAGAGATCTCTGCCCCCAATGTGATCATCAATAGCAATGGGATCCTGAAGAAAAAACCAAGCCTTACATTTCCTGATCTCAAAACCTCTTACACAGCCTTTGTAATCAAAACAGTTCATGAGGGGTGCTCTGGTGGCCTAGTGGCAAGGAGCTGCAACTACAATTCCAGAGGCGAACGGTTCAAATCCACCAGATGCTCTGCCGGGGAAGGAGGGACAATCTCCTCCTGTACCAGTCAGATCTGATTTGACGGTACATGCACACAAAAATAATAAAAACCAACCAACCAAATAAACAAACAAAAAACAGTTCATGGTATCGATAGCAAGACATATCTATAACAGTATAACAGAATTAAGAACCCAGGAGTAAATCCACCCACCTACAGATAACTGATCTTTGACAAAGAGATGAAATCCATTATGTGAGAAAAAGACAGCCTCTTCAATAAGCAATGCTGGCCAAACAAGACCTATAACTTACACCATATAAATAAACCCTATAGATGGATCAAGGATTTAGGTAAAATCTAAAACTATAAAGATCATAAAAGGAAAAACTGAGGCAAACTTAAGGACGTCTAAAAAATTAAATCTTTATGTTCATCAGAAAAGTTCTCGAAGAGTAAATAGAGAACCTGCAGACTGGAAAAAAAAATATTTGGCAACAATTATTTGACAAAAGACTCATCTCTGAAATTTATAGAATACTCCTCCAACACCTCATGATTTCAGCAACTCAGTTACAAAATGGGCAGAGGATGTGAATAGACACTTCACCAAAGAAGACATTCTGATGGCCAACCAATACATTAAGAAATGTTCAAGGGCATTGACACAAATGAAAACAAGAACGTGATATCATCTCATTCCAGGGACAATAGCAAAGCTCAGTAAAAGATCAAACAAATGCTAGCAAAGCTGTGGCGAGACAGAAAGTCTCTTTACACTCTTGGTGGGAATGTAAAATGGTACAATCATTATGCAAAGTAGTTCTGTGCTTCCTGAGAAAGGAAGGAGTTGAAATACATTTGAACCAGCCATCCCACTAGGTGTATAACTATCCCAAAGAAATAAGAGCTGCTACACAAACTAATACACAACCCCCCATGTTTATACATAATTATTTATAATAGCAAAAAGTTGGGAAAAAAAATCAGGTGTCATTCAGTGGCTGAATGGCTAAAGAAAATATGGTACGTTCATACGCAAGAGTATTACGGATTGAAAAATGAAAAGATTTAAAAAAACAAAAAATTAGGAATTTGTGGCACGTGGCACAAGATATGTGTCGTTGTTACATACTACTGAATCAGTTATGACTCATAGGGACTCTATGAACAACGGGATACACTGTGCCCTAGTTTGCATTCTCACAAACTGTTACGTTCAATCCCATGGTTGTAGTCACTGTGTCAACCCATGTTGCTAAGGGTCTTCCTCTCTTTCGCTGACTCTTCTACTTTTTGAGGCATTGAAATAACTAGAGGAAATCATATTAAGTGATATATGTCAACCACATAAGAACAATTATAAGACCACTATTATAAGAGCCAGTGAAAGGTTCCAGAGTACTGAGAAACAACGATGCCAGTCCAGAGACTAAGGTGCACCTGATTCAGGCCAGGGTCTTCGTGATTACTTGCTATGCATCAGAGAGCTGGACAATGAGTAAGGATGACAGAAGAATAATTGATGCCTTTGAATTGTGGTGCTGGAGAAGTCTTGAACATACCATGGACCACCAAGAAAACAAATAGATCTGTCTTGGAGAGGATGAAACCAAGGTTCTCCTTGGAGGCTAGGATTTTGAAGCTCCCTCTCACATACTTTGGGCATGTGGTCCGGAAGGGCGGAGGGACAGGGCAGGAGAGGAAGACCCTGGATGAGATGGATTGATACAATAACTGGGGCAATGGGGGTAGGCGTGTCAGAGTCAGTGAGACTGGCTCAGGACACGGCAGGGTTCAGAGCTATTGTACATAGGGTCAGATCGCTATGAATCACAGACAACTTGACAGCACATAACAACAACAATGAAGGTTTGCACATAGATAAAATTATTCATGGATGGTTACAAGGATAAGGAAGGGAGAGAGAATACGTATACAAATTGAGTGATTTGAAAAACAATTCACAATAAATTGATCAGATGTAATTAATTATATTAATAAATGATAATTAAGGCTATAAAACAAAAGGTGTATGAATGATTGAATGAAAAATCAGCATTATTTGTAAAGTTCCCTCAAATTAAAAGATGAAGAAAAAGAGAGCCACTCCTAAAGCAAGAATTGTTCAGATGGGACAGGACCAGGCTGAGTTTCATTCTGTACACAGCATCACTATGAGTTGGGACCAACTCTGTAACAACTAAGAACTATGAAACAGGCAAGGCTCTGAGGACACACAGTGAGCTTTGATTCACCAAGAACTTCAGTCTGGGAGGGAGGGCGTCAAGGATAAAACAATTGTTAAGACACCAGTTTCTGCTCTAGATCAAGGGTTCAGTTAATGGAGTGCTGGAAACTAGAGTAAATATACTTTGTCTAACTGGAGTGCGTTGGCATGGCAGTCCAGAAAGAAGGGAAAGTATGTGCAAAGGCACTGAGGCACAGAGAGTTAAGATCATGGCAGCACCCAACGTGCCAGAAACAGACAGGCGCTTCACTTAAGCTGAAATAAACTCACTGAACTTGACTCTGAAAATTGGAAGTAAAAAACTGTAGGGTTTTTTTGTTTGTTTGTTTTAAATAACATGCTCCAATGCTCCTTAGAACTTTTGTTATGTTAGTAAGAGGGAGCAGCCCTTGGGGAAGAAAATCATGCTTGGGTCAGTAAAAATTACCCTTAATAAGACAGATTAACACAGTGTCGGCCACAGTGGACTCAAACACTTCGGTGATTTTGAGAATGGCACAATAGACAGCAGTATTTCTTTTATACATAAAATCGCTGTGAGTGGCGAAGTCAGGTAAAAATGGCTCAGACAAAAAATCACGTCTAAATTCTCAGGGCAGAGGCCGATGTGTTCAGGACTCCAAGGTTCGGTCCCTGTTAATCGTCCGCTTACGTTTCTTTGTTTCCTTCAGGCCTCGGGACCGACAAGTAACCACAGTCTCGCCTCCCGTCTCCAAGGGGACTATGAGTTACTCACTCATTGAATCCACACGTCTCTACTCCGGCCAATAAGTGCCCGGCTGGTGTTTAGGTCTCACCAGTCACGGTGCACCTTCATTCCCGCTTGTTGCCGTCGCGGCCATATTGGCTGAGGGCTGGGCGACAAAGCGACCTGAAAACTCCGGCGCAGCGTCATCGGCATGCGCCACTGCGTAGGAACAACGATGGTGAGGCCGTGTTGCCGCCATTTTTTTTGAGGGCAACTTCCACTTGTGATTCTGGGTGCCCCTGCAGCCGTCCAGTTTTAGTAGGTATCCACTCCAGGAGGCTCTCCAGAGCCTGGGGCCTGGTCTCCGTCGGCGTTAACGAGCGCACGCCGACCCTCAGGTCCGGGCTGGGAGGCACATCTTGAGCTCGCCAAGTCCGCAGCTCAAGGGCCGGCGAGCGGTGGCAGTTGCCCGGTCTGCGGGGCTGGCGGTGCCCATGGTGCCACCTCTGGCCCCGCTCCCGGCCTGGGAACCAAGCGGCCCCGGCCCCAGATGGAGCAGACCCGAGCCTGTGCGCTTCAAGGATGTGGCCGTGTACTTTTCCCCCGAGGAGTGGGCGTGTCTGCGGCCGGGGCAGAGGGCCCTGTACCGGGACGTCATGCGGGAGACCTTCGGCCACCTGGGCTCTCTTGGTGAGGTCCCACCTCCTCGCCTGTCCCCACATCCCCCGTGCCCTTTGCTCGATTTCTGGGACTGTGAACTGGGAGGACTACGTGGGGTGACTTCCCAGCCTGGGCTTTGCCTTCTCTCCTAGGATTCCAAGACACCAAGCCAGCGCTCATCGCCTGGGTGGAGAAAGAGGCCGAACTGTGGGGTCCGGATGCCCAGGATCCGGATGCCCAGGATTTGGAAGCAGGAAGATGTCTGATAGCTGCAGGTATGAGTAAGGTATTGGGTATCCTGGGGAGATTTTCTTTGTACCTGACCCATCCTCGTACCCTTGGCTTCTCGATTTCTCTCTGCATTGCTTTCCCAGCTGGCCCTGGTCTGCTTTCTGCATTCGGCTTGGCGATCAAGCTCTGTGCTTTAAGTTCTTGCTGGAGTGGCAGACCTGGGCGTTCTTGCCTTTGCACTGGGAACTGTTTGCACTCATATCATCCTTTCTGCTGTTTCCCCACTCTTTTAACTTCTCTGCCCTCTGCCTCCTTCTGCGTTTTAGCTTACTTCTTTTTATTACGTTTTTGTGACAGCCTCTTGATTTCTGTTTGCTTCCCCCAGATCATCCTCTCAACAACTCCGCAGTCAGTCTCCCCCATTAACCTTGTCAGGGCCAACCGTGTTCATGTTTATCTTCCTGTAGTTCTTGGAATGCCCTTAAGTATCTTTCATGATCCAGCCCTGATGTGTGGTCTCCCCTTCCCTTCTAGCTTTCCCCACGCCTGAAGCAGAATACACTGACCCTTCTCCTCCTTTCTCCCCCTGCAGCTCAGGAGGTATCTCTTCTAGCTCCCCTGTTCATGCCAAGCCAGGCGGGTCCGGAAGGTGGTTGTACTGCGAGACTTTTCTGTCATTATGGGGTATGGAATACAAAGATGAGCCAGGATCTGAGCTTTGCTCTTCTTTTCCAGCAGATTCCAGAAACAAAGAAAAAGGACAAGGGGAAGAAGCAGAGGCCCTGGAAAAGATCCTTTTTATGGCTGCTAGGCCTCCTGGGCTGAAGGCTCTCAAACCTTCTCCTGCAGAGCCCCTTTATAGTTTGGAACAACCACACAGGGCACCTGGCCGGGGCCGCCCCCCACTTTGTGCGCATCCCCCAGTGCCCCGAGCAGACCAGCGTCATGGCTGCTATGTGTGTGGGAAGAGTTTTGCCTGGCGCTCCACCCTGGTGGAGCATCTCTATACTCACACAGGCCAGAAGCCCTTCTCTTGCGCCGACTGTGGCAAGGGCTTCAGCCAGGCTTCCTCCTTGAGTAAGCATCGGGCCATCCACCGTGGGGAGCGGCCCCACTGCTGCCCCAACTGTGGTCGGGCCTTTACTCAGCGCTCTGCCCTCACCACCCACCTCCGGGTCCATACAGGAGAGAAGCCTTACCGGTGCCCTGACTGTAGCCGCTGCTTCAGCCAGAGCTCTGCCCTCTACCAACACCAACGGGTCCACAGTGGTGAGACCCCCTTCCCTTGCCCAGACTGTGACCGTGCCTTTGCACACGCCTCAGACCTTCGGCGCCACGTGCGCACCCACACGGGCGAGAAGCCTTACCTGTGTCCGGACTGTGGGCGCTGCTTCCGGCAGAGCTCGGGAATGGCAGCCCACCGGCGTACCCACAGTGGCGAGCGCCCGTACCCCTGTCCCCAGTGTGGCAGGTGCTTCAGCCAGAAGTCGGCCATGGCCAAGCATCAGTGGGTCCATCGACCTGCTGCTGGCCAGCACAAGGACAACTTGGGTATCAGAGAGTTGCCTTTGCCCCTGGTTTCTGGCCAAGGGGACTTGGACCCACCTGTAGGCTTCCAACACTACCCAGAGATATTCCAGGAGTGTGGGTGACAGCCTCATAGGTGACACGGCAGATGGTGAAGATAGACATTGCCCGAGGCCCCAGCTGGGCTATACGGCCTGAGCCTCTGTGGTGACCACGGAGACAGGATTCCTGCCAAGAGCTGGACCTGGGTGATGAAGACTGTTGTCTTTAACCCTTCGTGGCTTGCTCTGATGACACCCTGCTCCTTACTAGACTCTAGAAGCCCCATTTGCTGACTTAGCTTCCTTTGCTGAGGTAAGAACCACCACCAGACCATCACTGTGGGGACGGGGAGGCTATGTCCCAGTCCAGACAGAGTGAGAGAATTGGGGTGGAAGAGACCCTTCTTTTACCCACTGCTCTTTTACTTTGTTCCAGAAGTTAAATTTCTGACAGCCTGTGTACCGAATTGACCTCCAGCTGCCTCTTTGTCCCCCCAGATGACATTTTAAGGTGTTAAGAATTCATGATCAACACTTGAAAATTGGAGATATTTCACAAAAAATCCAGGTTTCTAGCTGCTCTAGAAAAGTCCAAAGATTGGCAACTTGGTCTAAAGTTTTCCAAAACCACACCTGCTAGGAGCTGAGTTGCAGCTGTTAGCTTTTGACAGAACCTACACGCCTCAGCTCACCGTGACCCCACCACTCTCAGAATGGCCTGAGAGAGGGACAGCCTGCTTAGAACAGTCCACTCAGGACTTATTCTTGTGCCTCTAGACCAAGTGGTATTTCTGCCTTGCCACAACCTTATTCTCACCTTGTTTTTTGAAATGTATTTTAATTTTGTTTGTTTAATTACCCAGTTTTTAAAGGAAAAGGCCCTTAATGTTCGTACTGGTCCTTGAACCTCCATGGGAAAGAACCTTCTTTGTCACCCTAGACACAGCCAAAGAGCCTCAACATTTATTTATTTAATTATTTTTTAGTTGAAAGACAGCTGCTTTTCCCTCTCGCTTTTTAACATGGACTCACGGAGACCAGGGAAGACCAAACAACCTGTCCACGTCTTGTAGCTCTTTAGGGCACCACGGCTGAGTTCTGTCGAAGTATCTCAGGCTCACTTCCTGTAATGACACAAGCCACTGACCTAGACTTGGACTGACGAGTTCATGGTTAGCAGAGATTGGGGACAAGATAATGTTGATGAAACAGCCTCTTAATGTATCAAGACAAGGGAAAAGCAAAGACCACACTTTCACTTTCTTTAGGTCTCCACCACTGTGAACAAGAGGACCAGGTGAGGAATATTTGTGGTTAAATCTCTAGCTAGAGGGGTCTCTACCTTTGTGTACTTCATCCCTACCCTACGATCGTAGGGTTTGGTTGTCCACTACTGATTCTGTATGGGAAGACCCCATTCTTGTCTCAGTGATGGAAAGGAGATGATCACCTCAGAAGTAGCAAAAACCTCGTCTTTTCCTGACGTGTGTGCATTTGCCCTGTTCACCCAACTCAGATATAGGTTTGGCCTGTCTTGGGAAAAAAGAAACCACGTTAGTTGTAAACTAGTAGCATCAGAAGCATTCCGACTTCAGAGTTACCAGCACAAAGCTCAACCTTTGTGAGGTGAAGGTCAGACATATTTCCACAACAGTAGCCATCATCCTCAAAGCACTCACCTTCTCCATCGTGTTTGGTAATTCACTGCAGCAGCCACACAGAAGTTAGGCTTTCCTCACAATTAATGTGGTTGGTTAGGGAAGTAACAGGCTACAATTAAGGATCAGGGTCAACTTGGAACAGGAACTGTGTAGGAGAAAGTTTATCAGTTGGGAGAGCTTTCAGCTTGTCAGATGTGCTAGCTGGCCGACTGGCTTAGGTGTTTAGTGCTGGTCTCTGCTAGACGCCATGTCACCAGGCTCTGCTCAAGCAAGTTCTCCAGCTCTTTGAGCTCTTCAGTCAAGTGCCCAGAGGCAGGCAGCAATCTCACTCATGGGCCAGAAGCCCACAGCAGCTGTGTTGCTCTGCTCTCTTGGTTCTCATACCTTGTGCTGTCTCGAGTATTAGAGTTATCTCATAGGTCTGGGAGATTCCAGAGCAGAGACCTTGAATCCAAAGTGCTCCAATTCCTAGCTCTTGATAGTAGTGAGGTCCACCTGCAGCCTCAGGAGGTCCTTTTAAATCTAGCAGGATGGTAAAACTGACCAGTCCTATAAATAAGCCACAGACACACAGTTTTCTTAGTCACTAACCGATCCTTCCGAGGCCTTACATACTGTTCAACCCCTTTGCAAGATTGTGGCTTAGTGTATCATCTTGGTAGAACAAAAGAGAGCCTGAAAGATCATTTGTAGACAGAAATCCATTGAGCGGTGTCTTAGTTACGTAGTGCTGCTGACCAGAGATAGCCCAAGTGGACAGCTTTAGCAAACATTTATTCTTTCACAGTTAAGGGGACTGAAAGTCCAGGTTGTGGGTGCTAGTCTGAGGAAAGAGTTGCTTTCTCAGGTCTGGAGGAAGGTCTAGGTCTCCCTCAACATCAGTATTCCTTGAAGGTCTCATATCTTGACCTTCCCTGTGTCAGGGAGCTTTCCAGTGGAGGGAACTGGAGTACATTCCACTCTTGGTATCTTAGCAGTATTGAGGTCCTCTGCTCTTCTCATTTCCTTTCTCCTTTTCGTCACAAAAAGTGATGCAGATCACACCCCAGGGAAACCCCTTGCATCAGATTAAGACTGTAATGGGATTAAGGTTGTTGTATCCTACCTGCAATCATTTTACAGCCGCTTGACTAACCAGATCGTGAGGGATCTTTACAGAGCTTTCATCATTATATTTTGGGGTGAGTTGATTTCTGTGATGTACTACATTAAGTCAACCTGGAGAAACTTGAAAGAAGGTGGAAATTTGAGGAGGAGACATTCTCCAAGTAAATCAATTCACCACCTTTCTTTACAACCTAATAGTCAAATATGACCCCCTCCAAGGTCTCTATTACCCTAAGCTTTTTTTTTTAATTTTTTAATTATTTGTGTGTGTGTGTGTGTGTGTGTGTGTGTGTGTGTGTGTGTGTGTACCATCAAGTCGGATCTGACTGGTACAGGAGTAGACTGTCCCTCCTTCCCCGGCAGAGCATCTGGTGGATTCTAACCGTGCGCCTCTGGGATTGCAGTGCAGCTTCTTGCCACTAGGCCACCAGAGCTCCCCTTACCGTAAGCTTTTCTGGGGAGAACTGGTCCATGTACTTCTTGCTCATAAAAGGGACATGGATGAGAAGAGACCCTTTGGTGGTAGATGTAACCTCAGTGCCTGCTGCTTTTAAACCCCCAGAAGAGCCAGTGAATAGCCTTTCCCCAAAACTCTGCCTAGGTCAACAAGACCAGGTGGAAGCACAAGTTCTAAGCCTAGAATCAAAGCCAGATCTGGACCCCACCCTCCACTTGCCAATTAAAGGTGCCATAAATTGCTGCTTTGAGAGCTTTGAAGTTTGCAAAGTCTGTTTATGGCTCAGAAGCCAGAGCCAACTCCTTCTGCCTCCTGCCCTCATGACCCACCTTTATGTCATCAATTTTTTTTATATTTATGAAACTTTTTATACCCCATTCCTAGCTCCTTTCTTGGCATGGTAAGGCCTTTGTTTTGGCTACCACAGATTTTTAGGGCTATACCAAGGAGCAGTTTAAGCCAAAAGGACTTTGCCAGTGTTAGGACCAGACTAGGAAAATGTCTCTGCCAGGCAGAATGACCACTGCCCAGGCAGAATGAGCCCTGTCTGCATGTCTACTGAATGAGAAGTAAAAGCCATGTCCACAGGACCCATCCTTCACTTGTCCAAGCCAATGAAGAAGAAAGGGAGAGCTATTATTTGCCCCTTATTTTTCCAAATAAGCCGCCTATCAGCCACTTTTTACATATGTACCTCCTTGGGCCTTGCCCTTGCCTATTTAAGTAGAATCTCTAAAGGGAGGATCTTAAGCCTTCTAAAGTTTGAGAACCACTGCTCTGAACAAAAGTCATCTTCTAAATAAATTTGGAGCACTGGTAGCCCAAAGGCTGGTTGGAAGTCAAGCACCTTTTGCCCACACCAGGTATGGGTAAGGCTGAATTTCCATGTAGAAATGCTAATGCCACATCAGCTAGAGGTTCTGGCTCAACTTTTGCTATGCTCATGGTTTTTTACTCCTGCCTATAGGCAGTGGACCATATCTGACCTGTGGCTGAAGGTCTTGCCATGCACTTTGCAAGATTTGGCTACTCTCCAGTGTAGATCTTGGGTGTGAAGTCTCATGAAGGAGCCGTTTTTCTTAACCTGTGTTAATGCACGGGGATGGATGGGGAGTGGTGCTGTAAGTGGTGCTTTGCCATTCTTGGCAAAGGTTTTGGGCCAAACCCCACAGACATTGGGATGAGAGAGAGGCATCGAGCAAGAAGCTCTGTATTCCTCTGAAGTGTGGAAAGATGTCTCATCTTTGTTAGAGGGGTGGGGGGGGTGAGGGATTCTGATTCTATGATTTTTCTCCCGCCTTTACCATCTGGATTTCTTCAAATTCTTGTTTTTCCTTTTTAGAAATGAAAATACTATCTTTTCTCCAAACCACTTTCTTTCTTTTGGCCAGGTTGTTTTTAGCTGTTGTTGACTACCTAGGTAGACAACAAAAACACAGTCTTTGGCTCCAGCATTACTCAGAATTTCAGTAATTGTCAATACCCTATGAAACTTGTTTGTCTACAAAAGGTAGAAGAGGTTAAAGAATTGAGTCCTATTTTCTTTCCAAGGCCACTTTCTCCTAGATTTAAAATTTGGTCTGGGACAGAATTTCTTAGGTTTCCTTCCTTTACAAGGATGGATCAGATTAAGCATTTGGAAATCAACTTCAGCTTGGAATCCCTAAAATTATTCTGTAAGGAGAGGGACCTTTTCCAGGGCTGACCTTTGGTTAAAAGGTCCAATCAAGTCAGGACTGCATTAAAGTCCAGGTGGCTGACTCTGCATGTGTTCTCCCAAACTCCTCGGTACCACTTTCAAACGGAATACCCTCTACAGGATTTTGGCCTCCCTGTGAGAAAAATGCAAGAACCAAAGATGAAGACTCTCCAGAGATTGCCTGGACCACAGACTGTGGAGAAGATGGTGGGGAGAGGGCAGAGTACGAAAAGCATCCTCCTTTCTGGAAGTTGCATCTTCTTACTAAAGTGGCTTTTTCATCCCTGGTCTCTGTTGTGAAGGGAGAAAGTACGAGGAATGAGGTGTCTGGGCAATGACAGTTTCTGCCCGCAGATTCCTTGACTTTCATTCTACAAAAAGATAAAATGTAATGGAGGGTGAAAGGGGGCGGAAAAGCGCAGGGTGGACTTGAGCCAAGCACCTTGCACCCACTCACACCTGCAGGCGCTTCTGGCTGACTAGGGAGGCAGGACGGTTCATGGGAGTCCTTCGACCAATCAGAAGGCTGTGCTGCCTTCCCAGGCACCCCGCCCCCGCCGTGGGATTGGACGGCGGGGAGAGCACGAACTCTGTTAGCCAATCATTGAGCGTTTTGGGCAATGGGGGTGGTGCCTCTTGAAACCAAAGGCGGGGCTGTCTCCTTGGCAACAATCCCAGCCCTCGGGCTGGAGGAAAGGAGAGGGTGAGGAGGAGCAAAGAAAAGAGGGGGCCCAAGAGTAGGAGTGGGTGGGCTGGGGGTGGGAGTGGATATGAGGGAAGGGTCCCAGGCTCTAGGGGCTCCAGGAGCCCGAGATAGGCCATCGCAGGCACCCTAGGTGCGGCCGCAGTTGACCCCGAGGCGAGGGAGGGAGGAGAGCTAGATGCCGCCTCCTCTGGCACTGGGAAGTGTCGCTCCTTCTCGCTGACCTTGGTATCGCTTGTCACCTCGCCCTTGGCCACATGCACTGACAGGTCAGAGTCCAGGGGACGGACAGACAGGTTCCTGGACTGACTGAGACCTAGGACATAGGCGCAGAAACTTCCCTAACCCTTCTTGTTGGCCCAGGGGGCGCCGTGTCTGCCCCTAACCCAACACTGGGGCCATCCAGCTCAGGGTTAATGCCAACGAGTTTCCACCTCCAGCCGCTCCTAGAGAGGCCGCGACGTTAGCCAGTGGGGGGAACTGGCCGTGGACGGACACTTCCTGTGCAGGGGAGGGGGGGGGGTTCGGGCAGCCGCAGCCCAGCCCGGGCTTGGGGGTCCAGACGGTGGGGTCCTGGGTGGGGAACAGTGTCGGGGGCGGCAGGGCCAGTAGCGAAGTCCCACCCCCCCCATCTCTGAGGCCACGACGCGTAGGGTCCGTGAGGGCCACAGGCAAAGCCCGGACCTCGCTGGGGGGCGGGGCCGCGGGGAGGGAGGGGCCCGGCGGGCGGGAGAGGCCCAGGGTCAAGACGTCCGGCCTCCGGGCCCGGGGCTGGGCGGCCGAGGCCCCTGGACGGCGCTGAGCAGGCGGGCGGCGAGGGCCCAGGACTCTGGCACTCAGGCCGGGTCTCAGGATCGTTCTCCATCGCCGCCGTTGCCACCCACTAGGAGCCAGAGGGGATGGAGCAGGAGGCGTCGCCGTGGGGCCTCGAGTCCCAGGATGTGCACAGTCCTGATGAAACGGGGAGCCTCGAAGGGTCCCTCAAAGGTGAGGGAGAGAGCACCCCTTGGAAGAACGAGGGAGAGGGATGTGGCCATTGGGTGCTGGGAAGGAGGGAGAGCCCAGGATTTGAAACCCAGGAACTTGGAGGGTCTGGGGGCTGGGTGCCTTGAATCTGCTGAAGGGGTAGAGGTAGCAATTTCAGAGCTTTCCCAAGGGCAAGAAACTCTGCCTGGGGAGGAGGGAATGGTAAGTGGCAACAAGACCAAATGACCTTCTAGGTTTCACAGTCTTTTTTTTTGTAATTCTCTGATCCTGCAGGCAACGTAAGTGATAATGAGGAAGAGGACATTTCTCAGCAAGAAGGCCCTGGGGACTATGAGGTTGAAGAGATACCATTTGGACTTGATCCCCAAAGCCCAGAGTTTGAGCCCCAGAGTCCCAGATTTGAGCCGGAAAGCCCTGGTTTTGAGACCCGGAGCCCTACTTTTGTGCCCCCAAGCCCAGAATTTGCACCCAGAAGTCCTGAATCAGATTCTGAGAGCCCTGAGTTTGAATCCCAGAGCCCGGGGTATGAACCCCAAAGCCCTGGATATGGGCCTAGGAGCCCAGGATACGAGCCTCGGAGTCCTGGGTATACACCACGGAGCCCTGGGTATGAACCCCAGAGCCCTGGGTGTGAATCCCAGGGAACAGAATATGCATCTCAGAGCCCTGGATTTGAAACCCAGAATCCAGAGTTCAAAGCCCCAAGTCCCAAGTTCGAAGCAAAAAGTTCCAAATTGCAGGAAGGTGCAGAGATGCGACTAAACCCTGAAGAAAAGAATTCCCTGAGCATCCCCTTGGGGGTCCACCCTCTGGACTCTTTCACCCAAGGGTTTGGGGAGCAGCCCTCGGAGGGCCTGCCTCTTGGTCCACCCTTTGAGATGCCCACAGGCACCCTGCTGACTCCACCCCAGTTTGAGATGCTCCAGAATCCCCTGGGTTTGACAGGGTCCCTTCGGGGTCCAGGTCGGCGAGGTGGCCGCGCCCGGGCTGGGCAAGGCCCTCGACCTAACATCTGTGGCATCTGCGGGAAGAGCTTTGGGCGAGGCTCCACCCTCATCCAGCACCAGCGCATCCACACGGGTGAGAAGCCCTACAAGTGCGAGGTCTGCAGCAAGGCCTTTTCTCAGAGCTCTGACCTCATCAAACACCAGCGCACCCACACGGGCGAGCGGCCCTATAAGTGTCCCCGTTGTGGCAAGGCCTTCGCCGACAGCTCTTACCTGCTCCGTCACCAGCGTACCCACTCGGGCCAGAAGCCCTACAAGTGCCCCCACTGTGGCAAAGCCTTTGGCGACAGCTCCTACCTCCTGCGGCACCAGCGCACCCACAGCCACGAGCGGCCCTACAGCTGCCCCGAGTGTGGCAAGTGCTACAGCCAGAACTCGTCCCTCCGCAGCCACCAGAGAGTGCACACCGGGCAGAGGCCCTTCAGCTGTGGCATCTGCGGCAAAAGTTTCTCCCAGCGCTCAGCCCTCATCCCCCACGCCCGCAGCCATGCCCGGGAGAAGCCCTTCAAGTGCCCAGAGTGCGGTAAGCGCTTCGGCCAGAGTTCGGTGCTGGCCATCCATGCGCGCACACACCTGCCGGGCCGCACGTACAGCTGTCCTGACTGCGGCAAGACCTTCAACCGCTCGTCCACGCTGATTCAGCACCAGCGCTCGCACACGGGCGAGCGGCCCTACCGGTGCGCCGTGTGTGGCAAGGGCTTCTGCCGCTCGTCCACGCTGCTGCAGCATCACCGCGTCCACAGCGGCGAGCGGCCCTACAAGTGTGATGACTGTGGAAAGGCCTTCTCTCAGAGCTCCGACCTCATCCGCCACCAGCGGACCCATGCGGCAGGCCGGCGCTGATCCCTCATCCAGGACCCTGCCGGCATGGGGAAACTTGGGGAGTGAGGGAGAAGGGATGGAGAGGCAGGGAGCTAGAACATTTACAACAGTGAAAAAGCTGGAGGGGAAGGAGTTGACTCTAGGGTGAGAGGGGGAAAGGGTGGAAGAAGCTACATGCCCTGGAGACTTATGGGATGGGCTATAAATGGGTTGGAGGAAGGCCAAACTGGCAGCAGGAGGCTTTGGGAGGGTCCAGAAAGGCCAGCAGGGAGCTGGCCTTGGCAGCAGCAAGCCACTTGGTAAGGTGCCTGGCTTGGCAGTGTTAGGAAGGGTGGAGGGAGGGAGGGGTCGAATTACTTAATTAGAGTGGGGTAGATTAGACTGGTAGCTGCTGAGACCCTCCCTGAGTCTGGAAGTGGGTAAGAGGGTAGGTGGGGTGGGGCCCCAGGGTGGTACCTGGGGCCCAGAGCTCAAGGCCCTGCCTCCCTTGTTTTTCTCAGGCGTTTGGGCCCCTGAATTTGAGTTCAATAAAAAAAATTCATGTGAAAGAAATTTGTCTTTAAAATGTGTTCATGGCAAAGAAACACAAGGTCCTAACTAAGAATAGTCAAAGCAGGCCCTAGGCCTTGTCTGCGAGTGACTTCTGTTCAGTGTCTCCCTGGGATCTTAGAACCCTCCACTGCAGTTTTACACGCTATAAATCCAAGCCTTGAGAGACATGGTGCACATCCACCCAAGTGCGAGATGTGCTGCAGGGACCTCCCTTCTTGATAGATAAGACTCTAAGACTGAAAGTAGCAAACACACCCCAATTCTCAAATTCAGATAGTCTATTTCATCTGCTCTGACTCCTGGCACCTGCCTTCCGCATTATATCCCACCTGCCTTTGCTGAACCTTTAGCTACCATGGTGAAGACCCTGGCTTGAGGCTCTGAGACCTGTGTAAACAGGAATATCTGCAATTTGGGGGCCACCCAGGGGGAGTAAACATTTGGGTATAAGGGTTAGACAACAGCTTCAGACCCTAAACCCTTCCCACCAGGATTGGAGTAATGCAGACACCATGACAGGGTTGAGTTTGCCACAAGGTCTGCCTTAGGACCCCTGTACCTGTTGGACACAGTATCTGGGGTGATGGAGGTAGGTGTATCAGGGACAGTGAGATTGGCTCAGGATAGGGTCGCTCTGGATCACAGTCACAGCACATAACCCTGAAACCTGTTGGAGGAGCCCTGGTGGCACAGTGGTTAAAATGATCAACTGCTAACAGACTGGGTGGTGGTTTGAACCCACAGTCGCTCAGGAAGAAAGATGTGGCAGTCTACTTCCTTAAGGTTTCTGTCTCAGAAAGGACTGCTTTGAGTCAACAATGGTGGGAGGGTTTTCTACTTGTGGGTGGTTGTTTAATACTTGTTCATAGGACGCCCCTACCTCCAGTCCACTTTTATGTTGGCGTTTCTATCCCCGCCCCTCTAAACACTTAGTCCAACAGTGAGTTGAGACTCAAGGAATCAGAGGAGTCAGGAAGTGTGATATGAACTTCCCTGAGGAGGACAAACTCGGTACATCCTGAGAGGAACAGCTACTAACAGCCTGGCAGTGTTCCTTCATTTAATCTGCCCTGCAACCTTGTGAGAGATTTGTTCATTCGATTGCACTCAGGAGGAAACAGACTCACAGCACTTCATGTCTGGCTAAGAGGCAGCTCTTTGGTTCAAACCACACATTCACCATCATTTGGCCACAAACCACCTTGACCTGGCTCTGCACCCCCATCACTTGGCTGCATCTTCCATGTGTGGGATTCTTGCTCTAAGTGATCCCTCAGGCTTCCGAATCTTGATGTCGCTCCTCCACACACTCACCCTTAGTGTCTTACAACTGGTAAAGAGCAAAGGGAATCACTAACTATGTTTCAGCATGGCCGCTCATTGGCCTGTGAGCTCTGGAAGGACACCAGGCATGTCAATGCAGTCTGGCAGCTGTCATGGATTGACTTATGTCTCCTCAAAGTCCAGGGCTACGATGATGTGGAAGTTATGTAATGATCTCAATGATAAGCCAAATAATTGGAGGAAAATCAACACTCACTAATTCCGTGCAATATTCTCTAATTCCATCTCGGCTCCAGAGAAAAAGCTAGGTCTACAGAGGCTGAAGGAAACAAGGGCTTCTCTCCACCAGCTGCAGAGAGCAGGGAACTCTGGTGGCCTACTGTGCTGCCAACATGAAGACCAACAGTTCAAACCCACTAACTGCTCCTTGGGAGAAAAATGGACAATCTCATCCTACGTGATTTACAGCTTCTGAAAACCCCACTGGAAAGTCAGTTATGGATCAGTTCAGACTCAACAGCAGTCTTAAATATCCACATTTAATATAATTCACATATGTAACCAGATATAATGAGGACTCCAGTTTATATTCATTTATGGACATTTATTTCAATAATGCAATTTAACTTTCCTATTTTGGAGGCAATTTCCTTTTTTCTGCTCCCAAATATGTTTGTAGACCCTAGAAATTTGGCAAGCCTCGTCACAGTACATCAAGAGCCTAATGCTAATGTGATCGGTACATACAAAGACTCACACTACAAACCCAGGTAAAATGAAGGTGGAGGCCCTCACCACTTTCCTCCATAACTGCTCCAGAGGGACAGACCAACCAAGATCTTACAGTGAGCTGACGGGACTGCACCATTTGCTTGGCAGTAAGGAGCTGCGCTGCCAACTTGAAGGTATGTGATTGAAATCTGCAGGTCTTCTGTGGGAGAAAGATGGGCAATCAATTCCTGTGCAATGTATTGTCTCTAAAACCCACTGGAGGGTCAGTTAGGGTGGATTCTGACTTGATGGTGCATAACAACCACAACAGGAGTGCAAGAACACCTGCCCCCTGGATCCCCTGCAATGCAATCCCGGGGGCTGCCTTCTGCTCCACCCTCCTGTTCCACTAAATGTCTTCTGCCTACTGCCATCACCAAGCACTACAACTGTTATCCGGTGTAATACTCACAACAGCTCTATGGTTACACACTTATTCTCATTTTACAGACCAGGAAATGATTCCCAGCAGCATTAATTGTCCCTGTCCCCCAGCTAGAGAGGCAGCAAGGCCTGGATCCCAATCCAGCTCTGACTAGGTTTATACTCTTTTACCCAAATTAATATGTTGTTTACTTGTTTTCACTCTCTGAGTTACTGGGGTAATGATGGTGTGTTTGAGTCAGTGAGACTGGCTCAGTATACACAGGCTTCAGAGCTGTTGTTAAGAGTCACTATGAGTCACAGGCGACTCAATGGCACATAACAACACCACCACAAGTGTAAAGTTTTCAAGAGGTTACCTGACACGTGGTGACACCCTGATGGCTCATGGGTGTGGTTTATGTGTTCAAATGTTTAAAATATTTTTGTTTTAATTTATAAGTGGACAAATTTCAATAGATAGAACCCATATAATCAAAAGCTCTTTGAGGATCCTCAGTACATTTTTTTTTTACCAACAGATAGTCAACTTAATAAAATAGTTGATTTAGGCACCTACTCCAGGCTCAGTGCTGATGGAGGTGACCTGCTTGACAATCTCAGAAGAGCTGTGCAAGTCAGTGAGTTGCTTGTGGGTCCTCATCAGAGAATGATCCCAGATCTTGGAACCTTCCCCACAAGGAGTCTTACTCGTAGTGATTCTCAGAATCTTGGTTAGTATCCTAACTGGTCCTTTTATCTCGAGGTTCTTTTCCTTTGCGCCTCTGATCAAGTGGGCACACACTGCAGGAAAATCATGTTAGCTCACAGCACAGTTAACGAAGGCTTTTAAAAGTCAACTAAGGCTGGCTCAGAATAGCATAAGAAAACTCAGTGATTTTTAAAGTACAAAGGGTCCTCAGGCCAAAATAGGGGGCTCTGAAGACTCATCCATAGGGCGTTGTTCTGCCAACCTCAACATAGTGCCTCTCCAGTGGCTTGGATCCATCAGTGGCTCTGAAGGAGAAATAGGGACAATATCCTCCTATGTGAATTACAGCCTTCTGAAAAACCCTGTGGAAGGTTAGCTGGAAGTGAATGGGAGTCCCAGAGAACTTAATTGTGCTCATGTGAAACCTATACCTGGACCAGGAAGCTGTTGTGTGACAGAGCATAAAAACACTGCATGGTTTAAAATTAAGATGGGAATGTGTCAGGGTTGTATTCTATCTCCATACTTATTTAATCTGTATGCTGCACAAATTCTTCAAGAAACTGGACTCTATGAAGAGTAACATGGCATCAGGATTGGAGGGAGACTCATCAATAATCTGTGTTATGCAGATGACACAACCTTGCTTGCTAAAAGTGAGGAGGACTTGAAGCACTTGTTGCAGAAGATCAAGGAATGCAGCCTTTGGTATGGATTGCATCTCAATGTCAAAGAACCAAAGATTCTTACCATTGAATCGATGAACAACATCATGATGGATGGAGAAGAGATTGAAACTGTCAACAACTTCGTCTTACTTGGATCCACAATTAACACCCTTGGAACAGGCAGTCAGGAAATAAGAAGACACATTGCACTGGGAAAATCTGCAGTTAGGAACCTCTCCAAATTATTGAGAAGTAATGATGTCATTTTGAGGACTGAAGTACATCTAACTCGGGCTATAGTCTTTGATCACTTGCTAGGCATCTGAGAGCTGGACTGTGGATAAGGATGACAGAAGAAGAATTGATGCCTTTGAGCTGTGGTGTTGGTGAAGGGCACTGAACATCCCATGGACGGCCAAAAGGACAAACAAATATGTCTTGGATAGGGTGCAGCCAAAGTGCTCTTTTGAGGCAAAAACGATGAGGCTTCGTCTCTCATACTTTGGGCATGTTGCTAGTAGGGGTTATCCGTGGAGAAGAACATGATGCTGGAAAGGGTGGAGGGTCGGCGAAGGAGAGGAAGACTCTTGACCGGGTGCGCTGATGCAGTGACTGCTGCAACGGGCTCTTGTGTGACAGGAAGTGTGAGGATGGCACAGGATAGAACAGGGTTCAGATCTTTTGTTCACAGAGTCGTATTCAACTTGCTTGCACCTAACAACAATAATCACGTTGACTGTGATGCATAGTGACCATATGAACAACAGACTGGAACCTCACCCCGTTCTGCACCATCCTGTGATCTCAGCTGTGTCCAAGTCCACTGTAGTCACTGTGTCAATCCCTCTTGTTGAAAGTCTTCCTCTTTCTCGCCCTCTACTTTTCCAACGTGTCTTGTTTCTCTAAAGACTTTGAGTGTCGCCAAAGCTCCATACTGCCTCAGCAGTAGGCAGGCATCAGAGGGCACCGCTTGGGGTCCAGGATGTGGCTCTCCCCTCCCGCCTTACATGGATGGACAGACACCCTTGTCTTTTCTCCCTGCATCCGCGCTGGGTCTGGTCTTGTCACTCAGTCATCCCCACTCCCTGCTGACCATAAGAGGGCAGCAGTGACCGGTCTTCCCTCCCTTCTAAAGTTGAGAGACTTTATATTCACTGTCATTGAATTGTCAAAGGTCCCCTTGCGTCTCCTTCCTCTCCAGCACCCACCCTGGGCTTCTCTTTAGAATTAGCTCACAATGTCAGATGCAGGGCAGCTTCTGACAGCCATCCTGGGAGAAGAGAAAGAGAGAGGAAGAAAAGCAGAAAGAAAAAGTAAAAAGCTGAGTGTTTGGGGCATATTTAGTGAAAGAGTTAAGAAGGAAAGACTAAATATTTCGACAACACAAAAATATCACAAGGCTGGACAGAATTTGACATTTATTGGGTAAATACATGCAGACACTGTGCTTGGCACCAGGGATCCTGGCAAACAGCCTGACCCCAGTCCTTAAGTTCACAGTCTTGCAGGGCTACTGCACACGGTCTAACAGAGTCCGGACTGTGAAGCAAGACCACAGGGAAGTCGGGGGAGGCCTGAAGGATGTCACGGCCATGAGTCCTTGTCAACCTTTCTGCATTTGTCCACCTTAATCCAGTGGAACTGTGTCAGGAACCTGCATGGCACCTGGCCCTCTGACATCACAGAAGTCCTGAGGTGAGTAAGAATGAGGGCCCTACTCGTGAGGAGTTCATTGTGAGAGCCAGAAACTAGGTAAATCGTCAGAAATACAATTCAAACATGGTCTACGAAATGAAGGCCAAGTGCAGGCTGTTATAAGTGTGTATAATGGGGGTACCCAAGTAAGTTGGGTGGGAGGGACTGCCCTGAGGCAGTGAGAGTGGAGATTCACTAGTCAGGACAATCAGGTGTGGGATGGGGATACAATGTGAGAGGCGGGCAGGAGCAAGCTGGGCATAAGGGAAAGGCTGGTCGTTCACATTAGGAAGGGACTAGGGTGCCTTTAGTGGATGCTGGTCCCATGTGGTCTAGGATTCCTAGATTTGCCCCCAGGCAGCACTGGTTCTACTCCTGGAGTGAGAATGTCAACAAGTTTTAGGGCTCTCTGGTTGCCTAGTGGTAATAAGCTGTGCTGCAATCTCAAAGGTACATGGTTCAAATCTCCAACTGCTCTGCTGGAGAAGGATGGGCAATCTCCTCCCAAGTGATTTAATACCTTTGAAAACCTGCTGGAGGGTTAGCTATGGGTTGGTTCTGACTTGATGGCACACAACAACAACAATAACAACAGTGGAGACCAGAGGCAGCAGCAGGGACTCTGCAGGCCTTGGAGGGTGTATTACGGATTGTGAGCTTCGGTCAAAGAACAAGGGGTTTGTCACAACGCAGTGACTCCAATCAGATTCCCACTCCTGCAGGGGAATGGAGAGAAGAATGGCAGTGTTGTGTGGGAATCCAAGCCAGGCGGATGATGGCCACAGGAAACAGATTCTCCAATTTCAGAGCAAACATTTTCCTGAGAAAAAACCAGGAGCAGCCGTGCAAGCCTAGATAGTGTTAGGTGCCATCGAGTCGACTGCAACATACAGCAACCCTACAAACAACAGGTCAGAGCCTCGCCCTATCCTGACGCCAGGCTGATCTGACAATAATAAGGTCTCTCCTCTGCAGCCTTCCTGGCCCATCCTTCAGCTGCTCCTTCTCATGAACCTACAAAGGAGGCAGATGGGAATGAGTTCTGTGTTAGAGACAGAGACACGGAGGTCTGTATACTGAAGCTGACTGGCCCCACTCATCAAGAGGCCCGTGCCTCAGGCCTGGGTCTCTGTCTCGGCCTCCTGGGCTTCCTTCTCCTGGAGGGACTCCAGGCGGCTCGAATCCCCATCCTCTTCCTCAGATGCTGCCTTCTCAGAATCTTCTGTCAGAATTCCATTTGTGGCATTTGTGTCAGCTTCCATCCTCTCCTTCAGGTTCCGTTTGAAGAAGCCAACCTGCAGGGAGACAGAAACCTGAGTGGATGACAAATCCACAGAGCACTTTAGACCTGAATGCCTGGTGAAATGTGAACACATGGCGTAGATACTAAATAATACGAGCTACATACTGGGTGCTCAGGTGAGCTGACCGTCTCTGCTACTCACAGCTCTTGGCAAACTGTTTCTATTTGCTGCTTAATAGACACTCTTTAGATTCATCACAATGTCAGGTATTAAGATATCAATATTGTTTCACCAGTTAGCACATGTGTTACAGGAACGTGAGATGCTCCTTGAAATGTCAGCTATGAGTTGGTTCCGTCTCAGTGGTGCACAACTACAACAACAACACTTTAAGTTTCAAACATATATACTCTTTGGCACATTCATTCCACTTCTGGGCTTTGAGTCGAAATAATATTTGGACAAGCATGTGGAGTTTGGGCAATAGACATGTTTTTTGGCTGTTTGAAATAGGTGTATATTGGAAGTCGTCCAAACGTTCCATCAATAGGGAGCTTGGTAAATAAAGATAAGGAGAACCCAGCTGCTCAGTACTCAATGATTGTGCTCATCCGGAAAGACGTCAAGATACAAGATCATGTTGTTGTTGTCATTAGGTGCCCTTGAGTTCAGTATGCTCTGAACCCTGTCCTGTCCTGTGCCATCCTCACATTTCCTGACACTCTAGAGCCCCTTGCGTCAGTCACCGTGTCAGTCCATCTGGTTGAGGGTTTTCCTGTCCTTCGCCGACCCTCTCCCTTTCATGACACTCTCCTTGATCAAGTGGGAAAGACAGATTGCCAAACAGTGTGTGCTGGACCATCCTATTTACATTTCCAAACAGATACAGAAAAACAGGCTTCTCCTCACCCTCTCAAACACATGTTATAAGGAAATGAAAACCTGCAGGAATAGTAACAAAAATGACCTTTTGTTTTGTTTTGTTTTTTTAAGGTGAAAGTAAAAATAGTTTTAAAAAAATATGAAGTGCTACACGAATTTGGGTGTCATCCTTGCGCAAGGGCCATGCTAATCCTCTTTGTTTCATTCCAATTTTAGTATATGTGCTGGCGAAAAAAGCACCAAAAATGACTCTTAATTACCACCTACCAGAAATGCAATAGGGAAACATTTTTATTTTCTAGGTTCTGTTTTCCTGTAATATTGGAAGGTTGTTTTGTTGGAGTTCTTTTAAAATATTTTTGTTTTATTACTTTTTGTGCGTGTACCATCAAATCAGATCTGACTGGTACAGGAGGAGATTGTCCCTCCTTCTCCAGCAGAGCATCTGGTAGATTCAAACTGTGCACCTCTGGGATTGCAGTGCAGCTTCTCACCACTAGGCCACCAGAGCTCCCTTGTTTTGTTGTTTTTTAAAAAAAAATATCTAACACTTGATTCTCCACCCTCTGGAGGCCTTGCTGGACTCCTTCACCCCCTAATCTAGACTCCAGAGCAAGTCTCAAATGCTCATTGCTGTCAAGTCAGAACTGACTCACAGCTGACCCTCCAGTAAGTTTTCATAGACTGTAAATCCTGTGGGAGGAGATTTTCTTCTTCCCTTGAAGTTGTTGATGAATTAGAACTGTCTGCCTTTGGGTTGGCAGCACTACTCTTTAACCACTAGGCCACAGAGGGCCCCTTTTATCATCTTTATCACACTTGTTCCTGTCTCTTCCTCCTTGTAAACTCTCAAAGGCAGAGACCATGTGTGTGGGATGTATCCCAGTGTCCAGCACATAAGAGACCCTTCAGGTAAGGGAGCTCCTTCTTCTCCCGAGGTACCGAGTCCTGGCTTTGCCAGAACTTTGCTGAGTGACGACAGGCAATTCCTCTTGCTCTTTGGGCCTCAGGAGCCTTGGCGTTAGAAGGAGGAGGTTGACTGAAGCCTTCCTGAGCTTTAAGGCTCCCTGGTCTTGGGTTTCTCCTCTGTGACTCCTGCCAATTTCCCCTGTCCCAAGGCTGTTTCAGAAATTTGTTCATGATTCCTGAAGCTCCTACCTTGTATAGAACCAAGAAAATCACCACCAGCAGCAACAGTCCCCCGATGCCACTCAGAATATAGATGTAGAGCATTTCCTTCTCATACACGACATCGACTTTCATGGTGACCTGGGAGGAGGGAAGAGCAAGGACAGGAAAGAAGTCCTTCTTACCGCTGGCCAATCCCTAGTTCTTACCGTTCCCCATCTGGACTGTGTCCTCCACCGGGCTCCTGCTCCCTCCCCTGATAGATCTTCCACTGTGGTTATCAGAACGATGAGGGCAAAACTCACTAACATCTACCTCAAACCCTTCAATAAATGGCTCCTTGTGAGCCCCAGGATCTCAGCTCAGCATTCAGGGCCTTCCAGAATCTGACTTCTGCTTACTCTTCTATCCGTTTTCCCTTCTCATGCTCTACGTGCCAGCTGGCCTGGACTTCCTGTTCTTCGCACCTGCTACGTCACTCTCTCCACTCACTGCTCTCCCCACAGCATACCTGGCTCTTCTTCACTCCCTGATGGTTGGGTTGGTTCACCTGACACCCAAGTCGACAAGATCTCAGAAGGGCGTTGACCTCCTACTGTGATAGCTCATGGCTTCTCAGGAAGCCTTCTCAACACTGAAGGTCTAGCTCTTGATAACTACTTATTTGTGTTGAGCCCTCTAGCACCCACACCACCAGAAGCTGTGCCCAGGACTCTTCAGATCCCTCCGCTGCCCGTTTTCTGGGAGAGATACCTGGGCCAGGGAGGCATTACGGCCGTAGAGGTGAAAGTGTTTGCTGCTGTTGAAAGTGATGGAGAGGGAAGTGCAGAGGCTGAACATAGAGGAGGCCTGTGGGAGAGGGAGGGTCCACATCAGAGTCAGGGAGGGCAAGGACCAAAGACCAAACAACTTTTACCCCTACTTAGCAGGGGAGAATGTGTCCCATTGAGGGGCGCACCATCTCCATTCACGTCTCACTACTTTCTAATGTGTTCCCTTCCACTGTCTGTCTACAAGGAACACGTAAGAACTATCCAGATAAGAACGATAGGATCTAGGAAGCCAGATCTGTACATTTGAAATAAACCATGGTTGCATTTCATTTGTAGCAGCATAGACATTGATTTTAATACACACACACACACACACACACACACACTCTCACATATATATACATCTATACATATACATATAAGTACATATATAATCTATAGATATATATTAATATATAATATATACATATATAATATATTACATACATATTCTTATATATATATTACACACACACACACACACATTTAATAGAAAAAGACCACCTGGTAGGGAGACCTGCCAGTCACACCCCCAAGGCTCCTGGGTTCCCCAGCCACTTCCTGTCTGCTCAGAGCATGTGGTTTTACCTCAATTTCTCCCACAAGCTCGATCTCTCCAATGATTTTGATGAGTGTCTCCTGTTTGATGACAACTGGGCAACGGAGCTCAGCTTCAGAGAGGCAGAGCTGATGTGGGGACTGAGAAGGGCAGGAGGTCAGAGACTCCCTCTTGGCGCCCTTACTGGGTCCTGCCTCCACCCCCTCCCTGTCTAAGGGGTTCTTACCTCAGTGAAGGCAGCAGGGCTGAGCAGCCTCTCCGGAGTCTCTTCATGGCAGGTGAGAGAAGAGTTCTAAGAATGGCAGGGTGAGGTCAATGGCAGTTAAGAGAAGACAGCAGCCTCTTAAAGACTGAACGTGTCATTCTTTCCTCCAGCTCAGGTAAGATCTGGGCACCTTAGTTCTTGTCTCTTATTGGTTCTGGGCCCTTCCACTCTCAGCCCCATCCCACCTCTGCCATCTGTCCCCCTTTCTGAGCCCACTTATCACAGACTCGCCTTCCTCTCCCTACCCACTGCCCAGTACTCACCATCTCCACATGCCACTTATGGGTGATGGGCCCCTCGTTGTGAGACTGTGGGATCCCCACCAAGGCCTCCAGGTTGGGCAGGTCATGGCCATGGATAGAAGACTGAATCTTCACCTGGACAGACAATATAATGATGCAAAGCACTGAATGCCAGCTCCCAGCTCTATCCCAGACCCTCCAGCCTCACACACCTCTTCCCATCTCATTAGCTGTGTTCTAAGAGCCTCTTAGTTGTTAAAATGCACTGATGTTGAGTTGGTCCTGACTCAGAGTGACCCTCTGTCGGGTTTCCAAGGTTGCAAATGTTAAGGGAAGGAGTTTGCCCTTTTGCCTGTGGAGTCACTGGTGGATTTGAACTACTGGAGACTTGAAACCTTCTGGTTAGCAGCACGTCACACCACAGGCTACACCACCAGGGCTATTTTTCAGGCTGTGTGTAAGGATCAACCGCATCTGGTTCCTGTGCCCAAGACCTCTGCGTCTCAGCTCCATCTCCTCCCTCTGTCGGGGATGCTCTTCCCTGCTTCCTTCTTGTTGCCAACCTCACCCATCCTGTGAAGCCCTGCACATGTAATGTCTATGAAGGTTTTGCTGAGCCCCAAAGGACAGGACAGCATCGCCCTCCTGTGTCCCCGCTCTTTCTACACCCCCGGCGGATGCCAGTGCATTTGCCTATGGGTCAGTGTCTCCACCAGACTGTGAGCTTTGTGGGGGCAGGAGCTGTGTCTCGTTTTACCTCTCATTCTCTATTTCTGGGCACAGCTGATGTTTTTACTTTTGTTTTTTGTATTGTTGAGTCAGAATTGACTCACAGCAGACCCTCCAATGGGTTTTCAGAGACAGAGAACTACACGAAAGAAGATTGCCCATCTTCTCACGTAGAGCAGCTGGTGGGTGAATGTAATGAACACCCTAGACCTGTATACTTAAAAAATTGTTAAAAAGGTAGGTTTTTAAAATTTTTTTATTTTATTATTTTCTGTGTGTGTGTACCATCAAATTGGATCTGACTGGTGCAGGAGGAGATGGCCCCTCCGTCTCCGGCAGAGCATCTGGTGGATTCGAACCACATATCTCTGGGATTGCAGTGCAGCTTCTTGACACTAGGCCACCAGAGCTCCCCCCAAAAGGTAGATATTATGTTATATATATTTGTACATGCCTCTGGAAACTCTATGAACTTTGAGAAATGATGATAGTTATAGAAAGGCTTCAGGTCTTTTGTTCATAGGGTCACTATGAGTCGTGCTTGACTCAACAGCAATCAACAACAACAACAACAACATATTTGATCAACAACAAATACAAACTGTTTTCTCCCAGAGCCCTTTCTGCTCTCAAATTCTGTGATTTTATAAATAAGCTGTGCAGTTATGGAAAGGGTTTTGAACATCCTCCCAGTGGAAGAGTTGAAGTAAGGCGTGAAGCTAAGGAGGAGGGATTACAGGACTGGGTGGAAGGCCACATTCATGACAAGACCATGACAAACTGGTCTCTGCATCTTTGTTCCCAAGATTGGACCCTGAAGTGCTTTTTCCCTTTGAAGCTCATACCTTGTAGACGTGTTTAATAAGCTGGACTTTGGGTCCTTTGGGGATGAAACTTATGTAGAGTGTGGAGTCTTCCTGGCTGTAAGGAGGAAGAGAAACAAGTCAGAACGTGGTGACGGGGCCAGCAGAGTCTGCAGGAGGGTGGGGGGCATGACCCAGGCCAGATGTCTGAAGCCGGACAACAGCCTGATGTTTCCCTGTGGAAACTGAGCCTCATGAAAGGGGTACCTATGGAAGAGGACTGGAACCCAGGTCAGTGAGCCCTGGAGCCTGTGTCCACCTCTCCAGTGTCACCACTGTAGTCTGGGCCCCACTGCTCTGTTCCTAATTCTGTTGGCCTCACTGGGAGACTATGGACTCTCTCAATCCCAACCCATCCTTCTGATGACATGAATTGACCTTCCTAATCTTTTGACCATGTCACTCACCTATTCAGAAACCCATGAATGATTCCCTACTACCTGCAGGGGTGGATCCAAGGTCTTCTAGTCCTTGACCCACTCATCTTCACAGTGTGCCTTCAACTATTCCCTCTGCTAAGCTTGCCCACCCCCTGCTCCAAGAGTTGTCCATAATCTCCAGACCTTTATTCACATTAATCTCTGACAAGAACATTCTCCCTCATCCCTGGCCTTGATCCAAATGCCACCCTCCTCCTGACCCCAGTCCCACAGCCCATATTCCCTCCTCTAACCCACATTCATCCTGCCTGGCTCCGGTTTCACAACACAGTTCATCACTCTGTTTGACATTTATATCAACACACTGGAGACACTGGCCTGTCTTTAGCCTACAGAGCCACGTTGAGAAACCCCCACTACATTTCTAGGCTCAGCTGCCTTTTCTGTAAGTGAAGAAAGGCTTCCTTGCCCAACTTCTGAGGCTCATTCATTCTTTGTGTCTGAGTTTGGTTTTTCTCCAACTTGACTGTGAGATTCTGGAGAATAAGGACCACGGGGAACACTTTTCTCACAGCTCTTCTAACATTGCTTCCCCCCTGGGGCTTTGGAGCCAGACAGATTTAAGTTAAAATCTTGGTTTCAGTTCTTCCAAGCTGTATGACCCTGGATAAGTAACTCCCTTTCCTAAGCCTCCATTTGCTCGTTATTAGTAAACCAGAGAGATGCCAGCTGCCTCCAGAGGAGTCGAAGCTCCACAGAAAAGCGTCAACCAGGTAGAGGAGCCAACTCCATCGGGAGGTCGGCATTCAATGCCTTTGTTTCTGTCAGTAAATGTTAGCTCTTAAAAGGCGGCCTTCACCGATAACCAGGAGAGTTAAAATAGATGAATGGAATCTTCAAAAAAATCAAACCCTTGTGTGCATCAGAAAACTTTCCCAACAGAGTGAAAAAGGAAACCCACAGATGGGGAAAATATTTTCTAATGTCATATCTGATAAGGAACTCGTAACTAAATATTATAGAATACTCCAACTCATCCACAAGGAAAAAAACGAATACGCTAAACTCAAAACGGGCAGAAGAGATGAATAAAAAATGTCATCAAAGAACACCAGCTGGCCAGCAAACACATGAAGGGGGGAAAAAAGCTCAAAATCACTAGCTATTAGAGAGATACAAATCAAAACCACAATGAGATATCATCTCACCCCAGCAATGATAGCAAAGTTTGACAGGACAGCAAATAACAAATGCTGGTGAGGACTTGGAGTGATTGGAACTCTTATACATTGCTGGTGGGAATGTAAAATGGTATAGCCACTCTGGAGGGCACTCAAGTGCTTCCTCAGAAAGTCGGATATAGAAATAGCATTTGACATAGCTTTCCCACTCCTGGGAGTATACCCCAAAGAAATCAGACCTGCAGTACAAACAGATATACACACACCCATGTTCATCACAGCATTAATTCACAATAGCAAAGAGATGGAAGTAGCCCAGGTGCCCATCAACAAATGAATAAAACTATGCTGCATTCACTGAATGGAATACTAGGCAGCATTGAAAAAATAATGAACTCATAAAACACTACACAACATGGATGAGTCTGGAAAATATTAATCTGAGTAAAATAACTCAGTCACAAAGGGACAAATACTGCATAAATCCCATATCGTAGTATTAGGTTTGAGACAGGGAAGGGGGAAGAGTAGGAAAAGAATGGATAGATAATGAATACTACTCTGGAATGAATGAAAGGAAGGACATTCTGAAAGACGGAATAATTAGCATATTTATGACAATTAATAGTCATACAAGGGGAATGGGGAAGAGAGAGAGGATAGTGTGCATAAATGAATGAATAATAACAATGGTTTGTTTTTATGTTTCTTGGTGTTTTTTTTTAAAAAGAGGCCTTCTCTCTTTTCAGTCCTGAATGCTCTTGGGGTTGTGGCTAGCATTTGTTCTAATTATTCCTTAGGGTTGTAGAAAAGGGGCTTAGAGGAAGAGCCCTGGCGATTCAAGGCTGGGGTACAGGTTGATGGGCAGAGAACGGTAGGTGTCTGCCAGGAAGAACTCACTCTTCAACGACGATGTTGACAGGGTACATGACTGGGATGCTTCTGGTGGCTGAGTTATCCTTCAGGAGACCTGAGTCTTCATTGTCACTATGTTGGAGCAAGGCAGAAGTAAGAGTTAGGAGAAGGGCGTGGCCAGGACCCCAACGCAGTATGCAAGCAGGGTGGGCATGCTGGCCGGTGCTTGCCTGGGGCCTGCTCACCAGCTAACGTTGGCATGCAGCTCAACCTCGTCCCCCCAGGAGCTGTTCAGCAGTGTATGAAACATTACCCGGATAACAACCTGGCATAGAATGAGAGGGAATGGAGGAAGAAAGGGCCTGGGTTTTACAGGGCAGCACTAGCCCCGCACAGCCCCACCCCTAGTCACGGCCACAACAGTGCACACTCGTTAAGTTCCACTACAGCTTAAGCACTAGGCTAGATGTCTTATCCCCACTGTACAGATGAGGAAACTGAGGCTTGTGCTGGCTGTCATATGTAAATGGTTACAAAATGAATAAGTTGATCCCAGGTTTATCTGATTCCTAAGGCTAGGCTCTGAAACATGGTTGAAAACAGGCAACAACATACACTTCTCTGAGAGAAGAGGGTTCCTTGTCAGTCACCTGTTTCCACCAATCAGGAGCTCCCTGCCCTCAGCCAGCTCATCATCCCTGAGCTGTGTGTGTGACTCCTCCGGGAGTCTGGAGGCACTCACCGAGCTTCCTGCTTTGAAGATGGGAGAGCTCACATTGCAAGAGAGGGTTCTGGTAAGAAGTCTGGACTCCTTAGGAAGCTCCTCGCAGCTCACAGGCATCTGGGTGTGAGGCTAAGAGGAAGAACAGAGAGGAAGGGCTTTCTGATGTGGTTCCTTTGAGGCCACAGGCCCATCAACTTCAGGTTCCTGTCTCTGGAATCTCAGAGAGTCAAGGCCAAAGACTCAGGGCACATATAGAGGCTTAGTCCAGAGATGCTCATTGCAAAGGGGTTTATAATAGTGAAAAAACAAGAGATGGTCAGTAGTTCAATGGGAATGATCCTGTCATTATAGTTTGATTAGAGAAGAGATAACATGAGAGTGTAGAAATGATGTGACAGCTACAAATTTAGCAGCTATTTCACAAATGCTCCCAGGAGCTTGATCCCATGCTAAGTGATAAAGTAGGTTAATAATAGTCTACTTAAACCTCTTTATATTCTTGAGGGGTAGGGATTTCAGCCTTAGATTGGGAAAGGAAGTGGACAATCGAGGTCCTGGGAGGTTAAGTGACTTCTCCAACAAGGTGTCACAAGAAGGTTACAGCAGTCACCTAGTGGGGGCTTGAGGCCAGACCTGCTTGACCTTAGACCTCAAGTTGTGAATCACTTTGCTGGATGCCCTCAGGATGCATCAAATGTTGTAGGTAAAGTTAATCAATGAGATTGTACAATGTTGAATAAACAGTAAAATGTCAATTAATTAAAACAAACCCAGTCTGTACCAGTCAGATCCGATTTGACGATACACACACACAAAAAAATAATAAAATAAAATAAAATTTTAAAAAACCAAACAAATCCAGAACAAATACACACGTATAATGTAATGTATGCCTATGTGTATCAGAAAACAGATGTAAATAGGTATATACAGGAAAGTAAGAAAGAGAAATACCAAAACATTAGAATTGGGAATTGCTAAATTGCAGACGGGGAGCTCTGGTGGCTTACTCTGTAGGAGCTGTGTTGCTAAGCTAAAGGCTGTGCCTCTCTGGTGGTTTGAATCCAATAGCAGCTCTTCAGGAGAAAGATGGACAATCTTTTTCTTGTACAATTTACAAGCTCAGAAACCCAAGGAAGGGTCAGTTAGGAATTGGTTTGGACTAAAGGACAATGAGGTTTGGTCTTAATTTTTTTAAAAAGGTGGTATTTTTTCTTATTTAACTTTCCTACAATCTCCAAGTTTCCATGGCAATTGTGTATTAATTTTATAAAACAGCAACTGAAAACATAAAGGTTAGAGTTACAATAATCCAGGCCATCCCTCAGAAACACTTTGATTACTGTGAGGCAGGAAGGAAGGTTCTCACTAAGCCCGTATATATTTTCAGGGCGCCCAAGTGGTTTAGGCCATGGTCTTTTCAGTCATTTGTTATGCATTTGAGAGCTGGACAATGAATAAGGATCATAGAAGAAGAACTGACTTTTGAACTGTGGTGTTGGAGAAGAGTGCTGAAGATCCCCTGGTTTTGCCAAAAGATCAAACAGGTAGATCTTGGAGAAGGTGCAACTAGAGTGCTCCTTGGAGGCAAAACTTCATCTCGCAAATTTTGAGCATGTTTCTGGGAAAGGTTATTCATTAGAGAGGGACATCCTGCTTGGAGAGGTGGAGGGACAGCAAAGGAGAGGAAGACCTTCAAACTGGTGTATTGACACGGTGATTGCAGCAATGAGCTCGAGTGTGTCAGAGACGGTGAGGACGGCACGAGCTAGGACAGGGTTCAGATCTACAGTTCATAGGGTCACTGTAAGTCATACTTGACTCAAGGCCACCTAACAACAACAACAACAAGAAGAAATATGTGTGGCACCTAGTCCAAAGAAAGCTTTTTTCTCACACTTCATTTCAGGTCATCCACTCCCTGCCCTCTGGGTAAGTGTCACCAGCCTCCACTTCAGGCCACAGAGATAGAGGATGACCATCAGGTGGGCAGCCCAACGGGACACAAAGACCTGCCAGCTACTGCCTGTAATTTCAAGCAGTTCTGGTGGCCTGCAGCTGAGAGGACAGTGAAGGCATAGCCTTCTCACTCACCTTGAGTGCCTCCACTTTGCGGAAGGAGAGCCCTTGCGGGACGCTCAGCCCCAGATGGACCCAGTAGGCATCTTCTCCCCTGTTGCTCAGGGTCAGATCTAGAGACAGGCTGGCTGAGGGAGTCAGCTTCAGGACTTTGGACCTGGGGAGAGCATGGAATTGTGATGGGGCCAAAATGAGCGAAGCAGGAGCAGAAATGGGAACTTTGGAACGGAAGGATCTAGTAAACCATAAGAAAATAAAAAAGAATAAGTCCCTGGACTCAGTCTTTAAAATAGGCAATGTCCTCCAATCTTGACAAGGAGGTTTGGTGGCTTAGGGTGAGGAATTGTGCTGCCAAGGCAAAGGTGCATGGTCCAAATCCACCAGCTGCTCCATGGAAGAAAGGTGGGCAATCTTCTCATATGCAATTTATAGCCACTGAAAATCTGCTGGACAGTCAACTGTGGGTTGGTTCTGGCTTGATGGTACACAGCAGCAACAGCAACTAACATTGACAGGGGTTCCACAAGGATATTATTCCTCCCATTTCTCAGAAGAAGAAACCAAGTCCCAGGAAAGACAGTGATTTCCCCAGGCTGAAAAGACTCTGAATGGAGCTGGGAGCCTTCTTTCTAGTGCCCCACAGCTGCTTCAGGAAAGCACAGAGCAGAGCAGGCCAACCTGGAGAGTCTGAGCCTCACAGACCTTGTGGAGGAGAAAGACAGCTCCAGGTCCGCCTCACACTTCTTGTCCTCACCACAGTTCTTCTCAAAAGGGATCTGAAAGGCCCAAAAGAAAGCACTAAGAGGCCCTTCTTATAGATCCCAGCGGGGTCCTGACCCCCTGGCCTCTGCCTGCCCTACTTCCCTCTTACCTCCTTAGTCTCCGAGTGTGGGAAGGGTCTCAGGATGGGCTGCATGTCCTTAACCTGCTGAACACATAGGAATGGGAGGGCGGGGCACAAGAAGGATTAGTTGAGGTGGTTATTAGGTACCATCAAGTCGATTATGACTCCCTATAGCAACCCTATAAACAACAGAGCTGAATCCTGTCCTATCTTGTGCCAGCCTCACCTTACTTGAGCCCATTGCTGCAGTCACCCGATCAATCCATCTTATTAGGATCTTCCTCTCTTTTGCCAGCCTTCCACCTTTCCAAGTATGATGAGGTAGCCAGCCTCAAGGGAGGTCTGGTGGCTTAGTTTGTCAGGTATTGTGTTACTAACATAAAGGGTGCATCTCTGGTGGTTCAAATTCACCATGAGAAAGACGGACATTTCCAAGTGACTCACAGTCTCCCCAAAAACCCTGGAGGGTCGGCTGTGAGTTGGTTCCCACTCAATGGCAATGAATTGTTTGGATTTGAGTCAGCCTTGAGGAGGGGGCTTATAGACTCTTTAGGATCAGCTGACCAGGCTGTGCGGAGCCCAATGCCCTCCTGGGTGGGCCACCGTTTCCTGCTTCAACTTAGGCCATCTGTTCAGTCCTCCCCTTGGGAGGCAGCTCCTGGTGGCACTGTAGCTGGGATGTCTTATTCTCCTTTCTGGGCAGAAAGTTTCAACTTTAGTGGAGTGGTTTCCCACTGTCCTGTCACCCCCACATTCCCCCCTGGCAACACCTCCTTGCTGCACAGCTTCTGGGCTCATTACCCATGAATAGCTCTTCATTTGATTCTCTTCTGAGTACTCTCTCTACCCCGTCTCAGTTCTCCACACCCTATTAGACCAGGGGCAGAGACTTCAACATTTCCTGAACTTCTGCTAAGGACCAGGCTCCATGCTGGGCACTGAGTATACACCAGAGAACAAATCAGACACACTACCTCTATTCCACTACGAGAGGGGAAAAGGTACAGGCATTTATCACATGGGGGCCAAGTAGTATGAGGGGTTAAGTATCATACAGGGTGTGTACATAGTATATACAAGAAATGTGTAAAGGAGAAGTAGGAGGGAGTTAGCTGAAGAGCAGGGAGAGGAAGGAACAAAGAAGAGTTTCCATAAACTGTGCCGGGAACAGGGCAATGCTCAGACTGGCTGGAGCAGATATGTGAGGGGCCACAGAGATGGAGCTCAGACTCCACTGGGCCTTATAGAGTATATTTGGAAGTTGAGACTTTATCCTGAAGATAATATGGCTTAGGGTGTTCTCAGTTTTATATTTTAGAGAGAGATATCGTTCTAGGGAAAGTAAAGGGTCAGGGAAATAAAGACCCTCAAGAAGATGGACTGACACAGTGATTTTAACAATGGGCTCCAGCATGTCAGAGAACGTGAAGATAGCAGGACAGGGTAAGGGTCAGATTTCTTGTTCAATAACCACCTGCCTCTTCTGCTTCCAGGTCATCCACCAAACAGCCTCCAGTCTCTTACCTGATGGGTTTAGGTGCCGGCGGCCCTGCGGACTTCTTCCCATCCACCTCAACATTCACACACAACTTCCGCCTCTTATCAGAGCACACAAGCAGCAGCCAAGCACGGATCTAGGGTTTCTATGCTGTTCAGCTGTCTTCCTGCCAGGAGTTAAGTCCAATTCTCCACTCCCCTGGGACCTACCTCATACTTTTCCTCACGCTGTTCCCTCTCCTGTCCCTCCACCTACCCAAAGTCTACTCAACTCATTATGCAGGAACCCAAGCAACAACACTTCCCCAAGAAGCCTTTGACTACTTTGACCTCAGGTCTCTTTTCTTAAAGTCTTCCTACACTGCATATTTTGTTATTTAATAAATGCCCATAACAAAGAGGCTAGTTCTTCCAATATGGCTTTTCTCATCTTCCTTCCAGATAGAAACTTTACTTTGTGAAGCTTGGTCCTGGGGCTACATGAACTGAAGGTGACATTTCTAGGACTCTCCTGTCTAGGTGTGGCCAGGCCCAAGTGTCCTGTGGATTTAAGAGGCAGCATCTGCTTTTCTTTCACCCTCTCCTCCTTCCTGTGGGCAAGAATTCAGACACGCAGAAGGCAGACACAGTGGTTACAGTCGGAGAAAGTCTCTGCTCCTTTGGCACCGCGGCCTGAGGAGCCCAGCAGCTGCAGCAGAAGCTATCTGGCCCACAAACCAAAAATAAGTACGACCTGACCCTTCACAGGAAAAGTTTGGCAGCGCCGGATTTAGAGAAACAGAACTGCTGGGCTAGCTTTCATCTGCCCTTAACAGGAAGAAAGAAACTGCCTTTTCTTCTTCTTTCAGCAACTTCTCATTTGGATCTGGGTTCTTTGCATCTGAGTCCGGTGACCTGATGAAACCTTGCCGGTGCCCAGCACGGATCCAGTTTGGATGGCTCACAGTCACTGAATGCAACAGTTCAAAGCTGAACTCTGCTTCCAGGCCCGCATTCCATGAGCCCTGTCACTGTGGGAGGTGCCATCATTCAGGAAAGGGTATCCTGGCCTCTCGGTCCACATCTGTGCACTTGAACCGTCCTGCCTCTAAATCTCTCCTTGCTTTCTCCCCTTCTATCCACTTGCACCAGACTGCCTTGGGTCAGGCCTAACCATCCCTCAACTGGATCATGGCGCTAGCCTCCCAGGGATCTCCCTATGTTTAGGCTCCATACAATCCCTGGATTTATCTTCCTAAAGTATAAACGTCACAGCAGAGACATCTATTCCTCCTGCTTCCCATACAACACCTTAAATTTCCTTTTGGAGAATGGCTACTCTTCATTTCTTAGGACTTGAGGTTAAGATAGGACTGATCACACTCTCCCTGCAAACCTGGCCCCACTCTAGGCCTGGCCCCAGTGGCTGGTTTAGGGTTGTAACTATGGGTCAATCATGATGATGAGGTTTCTCTACCTGCAGTTACCTGGCTATAAAGATAATGTCTGGAGATGCTGACAGCATCTGATAAATGAAGAAGAAGTTGCCAGGCAATGATCCCAACACAAGGGTAAAGATACCAAGACAAAGATACAAAGAAGGGTAGGTTCCTACTGATGTCCTTATTCAGATGTCAGAATTCAGTATGTGTAAAGTCAGGTTGTACCCTTGGCATTTTCAGGTACACGAGCCAGTAGATTTCTTTGCCCATTTGCTAGTAAATCAGCTCTGAGTTGAGAATTTGATGCTTGTAATTGAAAAACAACAACAAAAGCCATCTGATAGGAGAGAGACAGGAAGGGGAAGCTTTCCTTGGTAGACACTGAGTATATATAAACTATGCAATAAGCTTGGAAAAGGCCAATAGTAACGAGTGTACAACTTGCAGAATGTAATCAATATCATTAGCTTGTATATGTAGAAATTGCTGAATGGGAAATTTTAAAAAGTCTATTATGGGAACTTTTTTTGGGATGTATTCTTGTATCATGATAAAACAAACTGATCCTAACATACTGAGTTCCTTTATGGGACCTTTTGTCTTAGTCCTTTAGAAAATAGCTTGAGAGATTGTTCATCTGAGTCATGAGGACACCTCTGCCCTAGTTTCCTGTACTCGACAGTCTGTTAACTTTTGTCAGGTTGACTGACATTTTCTGGGTAAACCATAAACTACTTGAAATCTGGTAGTTTTGGTCTGGCTCTAGGATGTAATCCTGCACTGGAATTGGTATGCATCTTGCTGGGATTGGTCAACAGACTAATGTAAATGAAGTGAAGTGTAACTTACTATGCAGATAAGGTGCTGGCTTATGGAGAAGGTATTGGTCAAGGACCATGCTTTGAAATTGACAAGTAATTGTATCAACCTCACAGAGTTTAGACAAGAAGAAAGAGGTAGTGAGAGTGTGGGGAGGCAAGGTATTTTCTACAAGAGCTTTAACACAATCAGGGCTATAACTCTGAAGACAGTTAGAGATCTAGGAGCTCAGGCAGTGGGGACAGATGGCAGGGCCAGGAGGAATCTGTTCTTGGAGGGTTGAGAAGAGGCCTGCGTGGCCAACAGAAGCTGAGAGTGAGCTCCTGCACTAAGGAAGGGAGACTTTGCTCTGTGCACCTTCACCCTGATCCTGAACTGTGTATCTTGTTGATCCAGGATGGACCTGGGCTCAAAGCTAAGGATTCTGGAATCCTCTCTCTGGAAGATGTATCTTGAGCAGAAGCAAAGCTTTCAAGCTGATTTCTAAAAGTTGATTCACTGTAGCAAGCATTCCCCGAATAGCCCATTCACTATTTCCTCCTTTTGGGTTCCCCAGAGCCACCACCCTGATGTCCCTTCTTCCAGATAATGGGGTTAATGAGTTTATCAGATTCCCCTTTGAGTCGCAGATACAAACCCCACACATTTCTCTCCTGTTTCAATAAACAGTTATTGATTTGTTTTGTTTATACTGAATTTCTACTGTTCCCTGTTTTCCAACAACAACCTCAAATCTTCTTACCATCTGATGGTCCCTTGGTGCCCGTTCTTTCTCCCAAAGAGAGAAATTCAGGGAGACATTGATGGGAGAGATGAGGTCTTGAATGCATACCTGAGGGCGATAAGAGCAATAAAACAGCCTACTCATGATAGCTCCTAATTAAACATGTCCCTTATACCTACATTTTACAAATGATGAAATACTTATACTTAGCTATTTAGGACCTTACTAGTAGTGGGAATTGTAATAGCAGCTATTACCAAGCACATATCAGTTAGCATATAATATATTTAAGTCTGTTTCTTAGCATATGGATTGTCAGCCCTAATTCCATGGCTGGTATCATTAATCACTGATAACACTTTTCCCCATTAAGCCCTAAAAAAGTCCTGTATTCTTTTATTTATTTTTTTTAACTCATTTTTTTTTATGTGTGTACCATCAAATTAGATCTGACTGGTACAGGAGGCGATTGCTCCTCCTTCTTCAGCAGAGCATCCGGTGGATTTGAACTGCGCACCTCTGAGATTGCAGTGCAGTTTCCTTCCACTAGGCCACCAGAGCTCGTCAAAGTCCTGTATTCTTGACAAACTGCTCTAGGTTGTTATTATCAATCAACCAAAATTGCAAAAGAATATTCTAGAATAATTAAAATATTTTGCTTCTAAATTTTAGCTCTTTGAAAATAGAGATGTGTTAGCTTCCTTGGTTATTAGCAGTGACTGACTTGCACAATTAAAAAAATTATTATTATTTGTGTGTGTACAGTCAAATCGGATCTGACTGGTACAGCAGAGCATCTGGATTTGAACCGTGCACCTCTGGGATTGCAGTGCAGCTTCTTGCCACTAGGCCACCAGAGCTCCCCAACATGTACACTTTTTAGACACTGTGAAATGCCTATAAAGTTTAAGAGGTAGGCATTAATATCCCCACATTAAAAATGAGACAAATGTGACATAATTTCCTGAAAGTACTAAACTAGGGAACTCTGGTGGCTTAAAGGTAAGGAGTTGCACTGTGAACCCAAAGACAGGGTTTAAATCAATCAGTTGCTTTGAGGGAAAAAGTTGAGCAATCTCTTCCCATGCATTTACTGCCTCTGAAAGCCTGCTGGAGGGTCAGCTATGAGTCAGTTCCAACTCAATGATATACAACAACAACATAAACCAGGAAGTTATTTGAATCTAGATCTAATTCCAAAGTCTAAGCTTTTTCCACCAAAAAAAATCATACTGTCTTTTTCTCTAGCATACTTTAGTTTAAAATTTCAAAATCTTGCTTCAGAGTCATGGGGTGGGGAAGGGAGAAGGGCACTGACTGGAGATATGAATCAGAAAGGAAATAATATTGTGACTGATAATTGTTGAATTTTCTCTCTACTTTTACATATGTTTGAGATTTCCATAATAACAAAGTTTAAAACAAATGCCAAAATCTTATGCCTCAATCTTAGACTTCATTTATGAAATATTTAAGAGTAGAATAATTTGATAGGCATCCTATTTTTATAGAAGAAAACAAAATGAACCTGCTATAAACAAAGTGAACCTGAATGTTTCAGCAGCTGTAAAAAAAAAAGTTTTAAGAAAAACAGAACAAAACAGCTCTACCTGGAATGAGTGTTAATAATAAATGACCACAAGTACTTGGCAAACAATGGCACATGATCTTGGTTGAGCATTCTGTGTGACAGAAGATTCCATATCCATTCAAACTAATGATTATCATTGTGACTCTACAAGACAGTGTTGGACTGCTCTCCTTAAGAACAAAACCAAAACTGATTTTATTAAAGTTGGGTAGCAGCATTTATGGACGTGGGAAAAAGGTAGTAAACACTGCAATCAAAATCATCTTAAAAACGCATATATGTGGAAGCTAAGGACTAGAAGAAAATATAGTCATGCGTTACTGCTATTATTATTACTATTGCACAGCGGAGGAAATGGTAGCTCAGAGAGCAAAAAGTGACTGGTCACTCAGCAAGACTTTGTCAGAGCTGTGCCGCGAACCCATCACCCTTTGGTCTCTTCCCCAGCCCAGAGCCTACTCCTTACCGGGAAGTGAAACCAGAACTCAAAGCAGGACCTGCTAGTGGTGACAGCTGTGTTCCTGCTGAGCTCACGTCTGCCTCCTGGGAACAGACCCCGGCTTATAGTCCTATGGCCGTCTAGCTGCAGGGTGTAGGTTAGATTGGCGACCAGGGGCCCTGGGTAGAGTTAAAACGGTAGAGGTGTTTTACTTTTCAAAGAGAGGAGCGAACTGGAGGGTGCGGGGGAGGGCTGGGTGGGAAGAGAAGTGCAGCAATGAATGAATGGAAATCCAAAATCTCTGTAAATATTCATTAAAATTATTAATTTTTTTTTTATAAAAGAGTAGAGTTGAACAGTGGGAGGGTCTTAGGCCATAAAATCAGATGTGGGATGGGCAGGGGGCTCCAGGGAATAAGAGAACAACACTGACCTCGGAACTGGGGGAGGAGAAGCTTGACCTGGAAACAGACTGTGATGTTCACCCCTTCCTTCTTTCTGTTGCTGCTTGAGTAGGAGCATTCCACTTCATGTACTGGGATCTCGGGCGGGGAGAAGGCCATCGTGGTGATGATGTCCACCACAGGCCGGGAGCTGTGGGCAGAAAACAAGGGTGGGTCTCCCAGACCCTCCTCAATCAGACGAGAGGTCTCCCCCTCCTCCCACAGTTACAGTCCTAACACAGACTCCAAAGTCACTGCTTCCTAGGAATTATAACAGCAACGACCAGTCAGGGCCCTCCACTTCATCCTAGACCTCTGACCCACTTCCTCTGAGTATTCAAAACGAGAAACCTTTGCGTTTCTCTGCTTGTAACCCTTTGGCGATGCCACGGGACAATTAGAACAGAATCCAGGCTGTCACTCTGCATGTCCCACCGTCTCCTCTGTTTCCCGTGGCCTATCATGTGGCAGCCACACTGGCTCTGAACACACCTTCTGCCCGCGTCACAGCTCAGGTGTTCCACCTACAAAGCTCTCATTCCAAATTTCTGAAGACATTTCTTCTTTCAAGTTCCAACTCAAATATTACCTCTTCAGACAGGCCTTTTCTGTCTCCCAATTTATCATAGGGAGCTCTGGTGACCTATCAGTAGGGAGTCGCACTGGCAACCCAAAGGCGGGTGGTTCGGATCCACCAGCTGTCCCTTGAAAGAACGATGAACTATCTCCTCCTATGTGATCTACAGTCTTTGAAAACCTGTTGGGGGGTCAGCTATGAGTTGGTTCTGAATCAGTGACAGTGAGTTTTTTTCCATTCTTTAGTAATGTCTCCCCAATTAGGCTCTCTCCTAAGAGCCTGCTTATTTCTCCCATAACACTTTTTACAACTTAGAATTACCCATTTATTTTATTTTAAAATGAAATCTATTATTCCCCATGTGCTCGGTGCCTGGCTCAGGTTCAGTGATTAAGATGTAAGACCAAACCAGCTGCTGCTGCGGTTTGTTCCCATATGTGTCTGGGTAGAACTGTGTCCATAGAGTTTTCAGTGGCTGATTTTGCAGAAGCAAATCACCAGGCCTTTCCTCTGAGGTACCTTTGGGTGGACTTGAGTCTCCTATGTTTTGGCTAGCAGCTGAGTGTGCTGTTTGCATCACCCAGGGACTCCTAAGTCATAGCAGATACTCAGTAAACACCCGTCACTATATGATGTCACATGAAGCTCCCAACAATGGGTAAGGCAGAAGATGCCACTATCATCTTATTTTTT